CATATGCATTAAGCTTACCTAACAAGATTTCGTGATCTACAGTATCAAACTGATGCCATATACATTAAGCTTACCTAACAAGATTTCGTGATCTACAGTATCAAACTGATGCCATATGCATTAAGCTTACCTAACAAGATTCCGTGATCTACAGTATCAAACTGATACCATATGCATTAAGCTTACCTAACAAGATTTCGTGATCTACAGTATCAAACTGATGCCATATGCATTAAGCTTAACTAACAAGATTTCGTGATCTACAGTATCAAACTGATGCCATATGCATTAAGCTTACCTAACAAGATTTCGTGATCTACAGTATCAAACTGATGCCATATGCATTAAGCTTACCTAACAAGATTTCGTGATCTACAGTATCAAACTGATGCCATATGCATTAAGCTTACCTAACAAGATTTCGTGATGTACAGTATCAAACTGATGCCATATGCATTAAGCTTACCTAACAAGATTTCGTGATCTACAGTATCAAGCGCCTTCTTGAGGTCAAGAAAAAGGACAGCATTTATGTTTCCATGATCTATATTATGAGCCCATTCATTGGTGGCCTCATGCAAGAAGAGCAGTGACAGTTGAGTGTAAACCACGAAACCCTGACTGACAATTAGTTAGGAGTTTATTTTCAGATAGATATAAATGTAACTGGTCATAAATTATCCTTTCAAAAACCTTAGCCACAACAGGGATAATGGAAATCGGACGATAATTATCAACGCAATTACGTTTCCCTTGCTTGTGAATTGGGACAACTTTTGCGCATTTCCACTCATTGGGAAATATGCCTGTGATAATAGAACGATTAAAGATGAGACTAAGGTGTTCGGCGATTAAATCAGGGCACTCTCGAAGTAATCTAGCGGAGATTTTGTCCAAGCCAACTGCTTTTTACCTACTTAGTTTGGACAAAAGTACAGAAACTGTTAAGGAATTTGTTTCTTTCAACTGGAACGTCGTATTAGTATTTTGACCAGATAAATATTCGTGGTAGGACCGGTTGCCTTCATTGAAGTCTATGTTATCCGCAAGTTTGGGGCCGATGTTAGAAAAACATTCATTAAATGCATCAGCGATTTCATTAGAATCATTAATTAAGTGACCGTTGAGCAGTTTTTCGATTCTTAGATGTAAGTTCGTTGATAATATTCCAAGTCTTTTTAGGGTTTCCTTTATTTTCGCAGAAAGCATTTTTGAAATAAGTTTCTTTAGCACGAAAGATTTTGTGATTAACTGAATTGCGCATTTTCTTAAATGAAGACCAATCCTGAGGATCGTTGGAACGAATCGCTTTGATTTTTTGAATATCTCTTTTGTGCATTTCGTCCTTCAGGTGAGACGTAATCCAAGGCGATTTATAAGCCTTGACACGTTTTGTACAAAGTGGGGCATGTTTATCGACAACAGAATTGAATGTAGTTTTCCAAGCATGCCACATATCAGTAGGATTTTCAAGTTCTATAATATGACTCCAATTTTGTAGACTAATATCATTACGAAATTTGATGGAGTCAAAGTTTTTAAACTTTCTATAGTTTACCGTTGAGTGACCCCTTGTCGGCAGACTAATAGAAAGCTTTCGAAAAGCATAAATGAGACTGTGATCGCTTATACTAACATGAGAGACACCAGTGCAAACTACTTTATCAGGAGTATTTGTAAAGATATGATCTATCAACGTAGAGGAGGAATCCGTGGTTCGAGTGGGCTCATTTATCAGCTGAGAAAGATTGTATAGTTCAGCAATATCAATGAGCAGCCTTGAACTATGATCTAGGACAGCAGAGCTGAGATCACAATTCAGGTCACCCATTAGATAGTACTCAATATTTTCAGCATCAAGTATACCTAGGAGAGATTCAAAGTGACTGAACTTTACCGCTGGTGAATTAGGTGGCCTATACCATGTCGCTATGAGAAAAGGCTTGGCTCTTGGTTTATTAATTAAGATGCACAAGTTTTCTAATTGATCAAATGATAAATCATGCCGAACCGAAAAATTTATACAACTACGGATATAAAAACAAACACCTCCGCCAAATCTACCATTAGATTCTCTATCACGGCGAACAATTTCATAGCCATGTATATGCACTTCATCATCACTAACCGTAGAGTCAAGCCTTGTCTCATTTATAGCCAATACATCAATCATATTATTGGCTAGGAGGATTCTGAGCTCCTCAATGTGCTTAACTAAACTAGTTACATTGAGTGATGCTAGTTTAAAACCACTCATCTTAGGCAAGAGTAGGTTTTGTTCATTAGGCATATTAGTTTGTAAAGATTGCATATTATATACTGATTTAGCAACTCTAAGTGAGGCGGCATTATGTCAATGGTCTAAGTTATTTGTGAACTCAATAACATTGTTTTGGAGTGATAAACTACCTAACTTGTTTAAATGCAAACCTCTTCTGTTCAAATGACTAGTATTGATGTTTGCATTTCTTAGGAAAGGAATCTTGTTTACTTGACAATAATTGTCTAAGATAAGGTTAACTTGCTTAACCTTGGTAGCTAATTTCGGACAGTCATTCCGGTCTAGCAACGCTGATACACCTACCATAGTGTTTGGAGAATCCTCTTTTATCTGAATCGTCAGGTTTAAAATTGAATCCGCAATAACTTTCGGTGTAGAATTTTTTAAGTCATTTGTGCCGACATGAAGAATGACTTTATTCGGTGACTTACGAGAAGTAGGTTTGATAAAGTCTTCCATATCCTCAACGGTTGCACCCGAGAACGCTTTCACAACGTAGTGATAACCAACATCATCTTTACTCATATATGCTCCGACCATATTCTTTACTAAAGAATCACCGGCAATCACAACAACATCTTTCTTTTTTTTCCTGGTTGAAGATTTACTTACGGTGACATTGACCTCTTGTGTTGCGTTAGCACCAGCTATATTCTTGTCAGGAGGCAAATAATTATTAGGTGATGAGCCCCCGCTGGGTGATAAGGCATCATTAGGCGATGAAGCGTCACCAGGCGATGAAGCGTCACGAGGTAATGAGGCGTCACGAGGCGATGAGGCGTCCCCAGGGGATGAAGCATCACTAGCTGGAGGATTACGTTGCAATAACTTATTTTCTTTCCCTTTCGGCTTCAAATGCCACTTACATGTAATAAACCCTGACATTAGTGGAATATGAAATTTTAGTATTTTTGCACAAGTGAACATAACAAGTCCTACACGTTGATTGGTCAAATTTAACGTATTAAGCTGTTATATTCACCTATAGGTGAAATCGAAATTTTCAAAATGGCGGCTAGCCGTTTTGTTGAAGTTACTGATAAAGAAATAAGCGAAATTAAAATAAATTCAGTCCCGAAAACACAAAAGACTTGTGTAAAAATACTAAAACAATTATTCGCCTCAGGCTCGGTGATTATCGAGGAATAGCCTATTCACCTCGACTTCGTCTCGGCGAATATTCCCCGATAATCACCCCGCCTTCGGCGAATAATTGTTAAATATTTATTGATGGTACCGTATATCAAGGTACGTACTGCACATTTATACTGAATTTATTCAATTTATTTTCACACGTTGCTTACTTGAATTTCGTTATGTAATTTATGCAAACGTCCGTGCATGCATAAAATTAATTTGAAATCATGCAAAGAAATCGCGTTTGAACTAACGAAATGGGAGAAAATCTAGGTTTTGAAGATCTTGCGTTGGCCTACGCCTGCACCAAATTTCTTGAAACTTTAATAGCCTGTGCAAGACAGTCCATGCATATTTCGACTCTGTGTGATTAAAATTTGTTTCCGATGAAAAATGCTTTTGCGCAAGGTCTTTTTTGGGTGCTTTTTAGTAACAGTTCTCCTACTCAAAGAAAGGTAGCATTTTAAATAATTTTAGTGTAGGCTTACTGAAAGTTTTCGCAAATGTCGTGCGCGTCTGACTTTAAGTGATCTTTTTCCAACTGTGTACTTTTTCTGATACACGATGTAGTATTAAGCCGTAAATATGCCAATAAAGAAAGCGAAATATTCTTTATACACGTTTCGTCCACTCAAGCGATACATGTCGACTTTCTCCATTTACGCCGAAGCTCAATGAACTTAATTATGGAATTACTCTTCAAATTTTATTGTTCGAACAAAATTGGGACATCGTATATGAATGTTATTTTATCACATTTCCCTGGTGTATATAGCACGGTTGTTATATACTTGAAAAAATGGTCACCAGTTTGTAATAACTTAAAAGCTCCGTGAAATGGATATGTAGAGTTTTGCTATGAAGACGAATATAAGAATATTAGATATATACAAGCAGTAAAGGCATTTGGAAAAAGTTCTTCATGATAGTGAATATTCCTATTAGTTCTTTCCGAACTTTTTAATTGTATAACTTATATTTCTCATTAATGCAAATTTGAAAATTCTAGTTTGTAAAACATATACTGTATATCATGTTTCGCTCGCTACTCTGGTTTAAATAAATGATTACAAAGCCCAGTCGAATTGTAATCAAGACTCAATTCGACTTCGCTTTGTAATCATTTATTTAAACCAGAGTAGCGAGCGAAACATGATTGATACACCTGGTTGCAGTGAACGAACAAACTTTAAATCCATACTGTATATGTTATCACATCAGGATCTAATTTTTTTACATGCCTCCCTATTAGTAATTTTTTAGCTAGTGGACTATATATCATACATAGAAATCTGCAATCCTGCCAAGTTTCATAGTTTTATCATTTAACGAACGATTCTATATAGTATTTCCTAACTCTTAATTAACAGCCGCACTATTACGAGTTTAGCTCATTTCCCAAAAACAAATAGTAACAATTATTTCATGGGAGCAGCTTTTGTATTGAATTTTCGAACTTCTTGATTGCTTTTCACAAAATTTACTCGCATATCATTGTTTGTTTTATGACATCAACTTGTAAAGCTTACGAAAATACCGCACAACATCAGGACTTCCCGTTAAGAAATCTTCATATGCTTACCTGATCTTGCCTCATTGAAACACAAAAATATTCCTAGAAGACATATTATCCACAACAGGCTTTTCCCCCTCATCTCGTGATATGTCAATTAATAATTGAATTTTCTCTGTCTTGTTTATTAAATTGAATTTTAATTTTGTGCCATTCAAGTTTGATCTTTTTCTATGAATACTTTCCTTCAAAATGATAAATTTCTTTGGCAAAACCTTTTCTTTATTTTGAGTACATGAACCTTTCTTTAGCATTTACTTGAATATGAAATACGATTGTCTTCTTCTTCCTTGGTCTTATACCCCAAGAGCAATGCGTCCGAAAGGTTCACTTTCGACAGTCAAATATCAGCACTCATTCATTATTATTTAATGGGCATGCATAACGTCTACTTGTTTGATGGATACAAGGTGTTATGTGCCTATTGCTATTCCAGAAAAAATATGGTACTATAAAATCCCATTTTATGAACGACAGAATTTTGATTACATATGTTTTTGCTTTGTAGTTGTTGCTGCAAATGTCAAAAACAGTTTCATATAAAATTTATGAGATCGGCTGCTGACAAAGTATTTCCTGTTGGCTTATATAGCCTCGCATACTCTCTCTCTCTTTTCTTCTCTCGGGGCACATGTTACGCATTTTCATTTTAATTATAAATTTTAGCGTAGATATTGCTTAAGTAAAATCTCGGTATTGTATCACATATTATACCCAAGTTATTATCCGTATTGTCCCTCCTGAGATGATTCCATACGTGCGCTGTTCGTATTTGAATGGTCGTAATTCTAAAGGTGTTTCAAAAAGTGCGTAATAATTTTATCAGAACATGTGCATGATCTGAGGCTTTCTGAGAATAAATGCTGGAAATTATAGAGAAGTCATGTACATAACATACATCACAATTTGTCAAGATATGATGATTTGGAAAGCAAACTGGAGTCATGCATATTTTGTCTGATTTTATGTTAATTTGTGGACCGTCACGGTGAGTGAATTCCTTGTACTTTCGTCTAATTTAGTAGTCAACCAATATGAATTGCTGAGCTGAAACATGCAACAACGAAGAATAATACTTACTGAAATCGAGACAACGGATTTGTTCAAGGCGAGGTACAGTTCAACATCAAACAAAGGCTTTCTATTTTGTAGCTTTGAAGTTTTCCGGGCTTCCAGACCATCACATCTTGAGAGACTATGCATAAATGAATTCTTACCGCTATTATACCCAGCTAGAGTACAGTGCTTAAATATTCTTACTCGTTAAACTACATGATATTAAAAACAGATTCCAGGAGGACTTTTAATCTGAAGAATAACAATTTAAAAATTAGAAGTAAATATCTTCAAAAATCATCGCTTGGTTCTGAATTACACATTCATATCAATCCTTCCTCCCTCAATTGATCGAGTAAACTTAGAAAAGTTTTATGACTATTTTTATTCGTGTTATGACAAAGTATCATCTGAAAGTCCAGAAACAGGTTTTATTGTGGCTGGAGATTTTAATCCCTGCAGCAACGGTTTTGATATAAAGTGTCTTTCTGACTATTGTGATTTTAATTTAAAGCAAGTGGTTAAGGATCCGACACGAAACTCCAATATCCTAGATCTTATTTTTACTAACATGAGCTCACATTATAACCCCCCTGAAGTAATTGCACCACTGTCTACCTCAGACCATAATATGGTTATTTGGATGGCGAAATCACAGCAGCGCTCGGTAAACATTGTGAAGAAAATTAAATTTCGTCCAACGCCAAGATATAACCTGCAACAATTTGGTTCCTGTCTTGCCCGATATGATTGGTCAACCGTACTAAACCTTGAGAACGTAGATGAAAAGGTTGAGGATTTCACCAGAACTACTAACGACATGATTAATTACTATTTCCCGGAGAGAACAGTTCGAGTGCACTCCGATGATAAATTTTTTATAACAACAAAAATAAAAAAGTTACTAAGGAAGCGAGATAACGCATACAAACAAGGAAGAATGCAGAAGTTTAGGAAACTTCGTAATAGAGTAGCATCGGAAATTACAAAGGCAAAGAGGCACTATTATGTAATGAACATTGGAAGGCTGAATACCAACGGGGATGCCCGAATGTGGTGGAAGAAGGGAAGAGCAGGGATCAGACTCCAAACTCGAAGATAGTGATGCTGCAAATATGATTAATACGTTTTTTGCAGATCTAACAAATGATTTCCCAGAAATTCAATCCAGATGGTCATTGTACGGTCATTCAGATGTCTTGCCGACTGTTACACCCGAAAGCGTTGCGAAAAAGCTTTTGTCCATTCAGTCTCACAAAGCTCCCGGTCCAAACGACCCCTACCTCAAGATAATCAAAATGTTTGCGCATTCTTTTGCCGTCCCATTAGCAAACATTTTTAATGCATCATTTGGGCAGAAGGTGTTTCCAAAACTGTGGAAAGAGTTCCGCCTAGCACCTATACCAAAAGTGGAACCGTGCACGAATCTGGATGAAATAAGACCAATAGCTCTCACTAGCACAATTTCAAAAATACAGGAGTCTTACGTGGTTGATTGGATGTATGACGATATTGAGTCTAAAATTTGTAAGGAACAGTATGGTGGTGTCCCACGCTCGTCAGCAGTTCTTGCACTCGTTCACCTTCTACACAAATGGAATAAAGCGTTGGACTTATCACAACGAGTAATACGAATTGTGTTTTTGGACTTTCGCAAGGCATTTGATCTTATTGATCACAACCTGCTATTAGACAACTGTTGTAAAATTGGAGTCAGACCGGGGCTTATTGGCTGGTTGGGGTCATATCTGAGTAAGAGGATGCAAGTCACAGGATTTGGTAACGAACTTTCTACAAGATGCATGATTAATGGGGGAGTTCCCCAAGGTAGTCGTATTGGTCCAATCGCGTTCGTCGTTCACATTAACGGACTGAAGGCAGTGATAAAAGATACCGAGAGCAGTTTGACTAATTCAAGCAATGATGATAATGATGATGGTGATGATGACCTCACTCTTTTCATGGATGATACAACATTGTCAGAGATTATTAACGTCCGTGATCATGTCTCGGGTACGCAAGTTGGGAATATGAACAATAATATTATGAAAGTTATGGATTTTGCCACGTCTCAAAAAATGGAGTTGAACCTGAAAAAATGTAAGGAAATGCAGTTAGACTTCCGTCAGAACAAAACAGTTATTCCACCACTAACATTCAATGATACAACGTTGGAAAGGGTTTCAACTTTCAAACTATTGGGCTTATGGATTGACGATAATTTAAAGTGGCAAACTAATACTGATTATATAATAGGGAAAGCAGTTAAGCGACTCTTTTTATTAAAAACTTTAAAGAAATACGGTGCTGACAAGATTGATATGAAACGGTTTTACATCTCTGCCATCAGGCCGACACTTGAATATGGAGCGCAAGTCTGGCATGGGGGCCTTACTAAAGCACAGAGCAGCAGTATTGAGAAAGTACAAAGAAGGGCTTTGAGAATAATTTATTCCGAAAAAGATTACGAAAAGTTATTGTTGAAAGCTGGAATGCATACGCTTGAACAACGTCGCAATACTATGTGCATTGATCTTATCAGTAAAATGTCTGACCCGCAACACAAACTGCACCATCTTCTTCCTAATAAACTTTGCAAGGTACGGCAAAGGGTTACACGTCAGAATGGTCAATTGTTTTACAATTACCACTACAGAACAGAACGTTTTCGGAACAGTCCAATCGTTTCGTCAATTGAACTCTATAATAACTCTATTTTATAATATAATATATAATATAACTTTATATATTTTTATCGAAACATTTTTAACACGTAGTGATAGTTTTTGGATCAGTCCATTTGTTTCGCCATTTGAACCTTTGTTAATAACTCTCTTTTTTTAATATAAATATCTCATTTGAAACTTTTATAATACCTAATGTAGATAGTTCAGTAATTAATGTATATTTTCTATATATATGTAATGCGCGTTCTAATTTAGTTACCTACTGTAGCTATTCAATGTGTAATCTTTCTATAATAATAATAATAATAATAATAATCTTTCATAAATGAGCGCTTTTATCGGCAAAGTAGGTATATCCAAGAAAAAGCTATAGTCCTCTAGCAGTCTTTCGTCCTGATTAATCTCATGAGGTTAGTCCAATATTGTGCTGAATACTGACTTGCCAAAGGAAATATTGGTAATATCATAAAACACTAACGAAAGTGAAAGTAGACATTCACGTGGAGGATAAGAGCAATGGATATCTTTTAAAATTGATGTGGCGGCAGTTGTTATTACACTTTAAATGAAGGGTTAGAATTTTTTATAAGTGATTCTGCTTGTTGAAAATGCATGTTTTTGCTTGAATATATCACATTTGTCGTTCTGTACATGATAATAATCAAACTCAACATTTCCAGAAACAATCAGACGCACTTATTGAAAATATAATACAGTATGCGTGCTTAGTCATACTTTGTGAACTCCTTGCGATACAAATATTAAATATATCTCTGTTTACATTATTGAGGTCATGATGCTGAGGCTGGGTACCACTATCAAAGTTTCTGTGATCACTGTAGGAATTTTTGGAACATTGATTAGAAATGTTTGAGCAAACTGATTAATGTATAACACTGCGTTCCTCAAGCATTTCTTACAAATCCTTCAAAACTTATAATTTTTGTATGCACAATTCCAGACTTACTGTAATCACCGAAACTTTAATAGCACGAACCCGGCTTAAGTCTACAATTAAAGATGGCGGCCGATATTTTCCTGAAGCAAGACCGTATTAAAACTTGAGTGCTGAATATATTCAGAGAAATATTATTTCATATATTTAATATAATTTCGAAGTGGATTTATTTGCAAGCAGTGAACTTTAAATTTGTAATAATACAACGATGTCCTCTTTAATAGATTTTCAACTTTAGGTTATCTTTATACTATTCACTTATCACACAAATAAGGAAGTCCCTAGTATTGTGATCAGAATATTCCCTTCTGGAAAGCGCGTCATTTTGCCGATGGAATCTCGATCGTCTTCGTGCATGTAACAGAGCCGAACATGTCGAATACCACAAACGAGGCTCTATAGCCCAGGGTCTTTTTTAAGGATTTTCCCGAGGCGGGGTACTTTGAAAAGGGACCTTTCTGTGAGTTAATATATTAGAGGGGGTACCAATGACTGAAGGCCACGTGTGGGGCCGACATACCACGCATGAATCCCTAGGGGGGTCTGGGGCGTACTCCTCAATGACATTTTTGAAATGTAAAGCTTGGAAATGCCATTTCCTGCATCCTGAGCATCCAAATTTGCTCTAAAATTTATGCTAACTATACTTGTATTTGAAATAAATGAAGGAAAAAACGCGCAAAAAATATTAATAACCATAATTTATCATTACTTAGTAGAGAGAGATAGCAATGGCCGAAGGCCACGTGTGTCAGGGCATACTCCACTAGAAAATGTTTGAAATTTGAAGCCTGGAATGCCATTTCCTGCATTCTGAGCATCCACATTTGCTCTAAATTCCATGCTTACTAGTACTATACTTGTATTTGAAATAAAAGAAGGGAAAAACGCACAAAAAATAAAAAAATAAAAAATTATTAACAGTAATTTATCATCACTTAGTGGTGGAAAAACGCAACAATTTAAATCGATTTTGTTAAACAAGGAAAAAGGAAAAAGCGTAAAGGGGGGGGGGGGGCAAAATGCGATTTCGTGTATGTTAAAAAGGCTCTGCTATAGCCAAGATGACTTACTTGGGTGTGTTGTCGAGAACAGTTTTGAAAGCTGTGAATTTCATAACTAGTTATTTCGTGCCGGAGTACCTTCTAATTGTTTTTTTACTCACCCTGCAGCGGAGGAGAAATTGCATTTTGAAGTTATGGAATGGAATCTAATCTTTACTCGAAATACTGGAGTTCTTGGTGAGGGAAGTGCTAGTGAATATCCTGAACCTCGTCGTATCTAAACATTGCTTGATATTTCAGATAAAATAGCATGATATTGTGATTTTAGTATCTGTCCATGTTACCTGCGATCAGGCATTGAAAATGAACGCCTGATACAAATGTCTATCAAGTCGTTTACCACCCACCATCACATTTTATTTTATTTTAATTTAACCAGTCAAAAGGCGCAGGAAGTGAAAATATTCGTGTACATCTCGTAGCGAAAAGCCATGGGAAATCAACATTTAAAAAACAAAAGTGACTAGTGACTAGACTAGACTAGGGACTTTGTTCGACCAAAATATCGAACTTTGAAATTCCATGCAGTTCCCATTTTTCCTAATAAATAGGAACGCTGTGAATAAAAGTATGCAGGGCCGTAGCTATACACGATAATTTGGGGGGGGGGGGGTGCATATTATTCATATATTCATGTTTACATAACGTAAAAGCAATCGATTTCAAAAGAAATCCGTCGGGCAGAACACGAATATATGAATATACATACCCCCACCCCCCAATTATCGTTCTAACTACGGCCCTGAAAGTATGCTTCAGTTGGATAAACAAATGCTGTGGAAAATGAATAACATTGATGAGAATATAATTATTAATAGTTGTCAACAACCTAAATTTATCACCGAGCTGTAACTGTAAACACTGCGGAAGTTTATGTTTTCATGTACCCACTATTTTTCAGGCGACCGAGCAAAAAATGTGACAAGTTCCGTGAGCAGTTAGAGCGCATCGCCATCCAATCAGATGCATGCACAAGGTATGTAACTTGCCGAGCATTCGCGCAAAAAAGAGGGTACACTAGTTATAACTCTGTATATATATCTGCTCTGTGGTGCTAATAATATGTAACTTGTTCAGTTCACACGCCCTGTTATATACCAAAGTGTTGTGATCTGTTGGCTTGCGTCATTTGAAATTTAATTAAACGGTATATCAAACACGCCATTTTAGGTGAAGTGAATCTAATTAACGTGCGCGCATCCAAGACAAGAGATATTAACTTTGGACATTAAAGAGAGTACGCCACGAACTATCTTTCCTCCTGATCTATAAGTATTGTGCTTCTCAATTTCAATTGATTCTCTCATTTTGCGAAAGAACTTATGACTATCAACCGCCAAAAAGATTCGGGGCTTACGGATCGAAAGCTTTGCAGCAATAAATTTACGAGGTGTTTCTACAAACAATAGTATTATATGTTTTATCGCTATGCAAACCTACAAAGAACTAAGTACTTTAGTATTCAGTTTAAAAAAGTGTTGAAATTTGTCGCAAAGAACTGGAAGAAGTTGTAAGAACAACGATATTAAAGATAAAACACATCTTCCTCCTGTAGTTACATGTATATATGAACGTTTAAACGTCTATTCCAAGTAAAGATATAACGAAATTACCGTTAGGACAATCCGAGTTAAAGAGCATGGGATTTTTAGTTTCTATTACTATAAGCATTGTAATAGACCTTATGCATAATGACGTCGCAAGGCTTGATGCCCGCGAGCAATGCTGGTCTTAATAGTCGTAGCCCGGGAAAATTTCGATAGTGGCCATTTTGAATTGTTTAATTTTCCCGGGCGATGACTACTGAGACCCGCATTCCTCGCGGGCATCAAGCCTTGTGACGTCATTATGCGTAAGGTCTATCAGATAGAGTTTTGAACAATCCTTCAGAAAGTTTTCCAATCAGGGCCCTTTTTTAGGAATTCATCCTTGTAGTAAGATTTTAGGGAAGACAACCTGCGAACAGGTGGAGACAGAGCACATGGACTCAATGGCCGCTAGTTTATATTATGATAATGTCGTAGAAGAAAAACTATATTATTTCGTTGATTGTTCATGTATTGTTTATATTGTTGTGGATATTAATAAAGTGTATGTTTATACACTCTGACTACTACAATTGGTGGAGGATGCAAATCGTTTTAACAGAATTTTAGAGGATTTTTTACATCGTTTGTAACAAGAACTAAATACAGTATGGTGACAGTTGAGGAACTCCGAAGGATCAATAAAGGACTAGCTGACGTGGTAAAGTCTCAGCTTACAAACCAATACGATGCCCAAGGAGCAAATCGACAACACATCGAAGCACTCGCGAAAACCGTCGCAATTTAGCCACCAATTCGCCAAGTTCAAGCCATGTTGACACTTTGAAGTTGACTCAAGTGGTTTTACCTCGCTATACAGGTAAGCCTGACGAACAACTTGACCGTTTTCTTCAGGGTTTATTTTAACGTGCAGTTCTACACAAAATGTGCAGTTCTAAACCCATTTGTGCAGTCCTTAAAACTCAAATGTGCAGTCACCAAATTAACAAAAATATAACCTCAAAACAGTCTTCTCATTTAGTGGATGCTCCAGATGCCAGAAATGCTGTCATTGAGCATCAAAAATCTAAATGTTTTCTCGGAGAGGACCACCAGACCTTCATAATTTCCTCACAAATCACATACGTGCTGGGGTAATGGGACAGGAGGTAACGTTGGGGCGAGCGAAGCTATCCAAAAGAGATTAGTGTTGGAGAACATAATATTCTTTACTGCCTAAGGTTATTATATATTGAGTATTCATGATTTCCAGTTACATGTTTTGAAACAGTTTTTGTGGATGGTTGGGTGAAACAAATCTTTTTCGGAACTTACGAGCCTCTAAATTCAAAATTTGGGGGGACACCCCCAAAGTTTCCCCATCCGGAATCGAGTTTGTCTGGCTCACCCAACCACACCTTTATTCTGTCACCAATATACAAATTAAGAGTATAATATCATAATTTGCAACGCTAACTATACATTTACAACTTTAAATATACTGCAGATAAAAATCCTTTGACCCCCATAGCCATGCAGTCAAACATCCTTTGATCCCCTAGTCAAAAACGTGATGCTTCGTAACATCCCTAATATGTGCAGTTCTAAACTTTTCTTAAAATAAACCCTGGTTTTTTTGACCAGCTTACGACGCTATTAAAATCTTCTGGATTTGCAGCTAAACATTGGACAACCAATCTTAAACAACAGGTACTGCAAGATTTACGTGCTTATGATTCTGTTGTGTTTGCTGAAGAAGAATGTAAACATGCTCTTGGAGAGGACCCTACCAATATTACTATGGAACAGTATGAAACGTACTTTAACCTTGTCAAAGCATCGTTAGTTAAGAAACGTGGAAAACCTAAAGATGAACGTATACGTGAATTACTTCAAGTCGACTACAACCTCCGACAAAGTAAAGCAGTACCTGTTTCAACTTTTGCTCATCGATTTTGTGACATTCAACACGAACTCGATAAATGTATTCCTGGAATACACTATACAGGCACGAATGATGATATCGACCTGAGACATCTTCGACCGGAAATTGGGAAAGCTCTGATGAGCCGAGACTCCAAGTATTCTTCTCTATCGGAAGTAATTGACGCTGCTAACAGATTTGAACAAAGTTTTCCCCCATTACCTCTCCTTTTAGTAGACTATTTTGACCCATTTCGTGAAGACAAAGCTATGTTAAAACCCAAATCCTGTTACAACTGTAATCAACCTTGTCCTTTCAAAAGAAACTGTCCTGTTTTGTACAATCCTGGGACAAACCAAGAACGAAATACTTCCAGTCAAACCGAAGTGTGCCTGCCTCCAGTGGAATCAACGAGCTGTTCCTCGCTGCTTACTTCCTGATAATCAATGCAAGTTTCATCCACAACATGTGTGTCTGGTTTGCAAAAAGAATGGATGTAAATAACTGTTACATAAAGAAGATAAGTTGCCTACACAAAGCCAACTGAAAGAAAAGCTATCAAGTAAGTTTCAGGCATAATTTGATAGTCTTTGCTCTAAATTGGAAACTGTACTTCCAAATCCAAAACCCCCTACCCCACCCACCACCCCTGCTGACAATAACCCACCAGCCAGTGATTATCCCCTATTTGGCATGCCATTCGTTGCAGCTGATTCTGTTGAAATTCCTGACTTGAGCAAGACGTTTATAATGTGGGCGAAGTCTAATCAGCCGGTGTTGAACTTTCGCCGCCTCTTGATAGTTGTTGCTCAGTGTCGCTTTGTAGTTTGATCCATGCAGAACGTGTCCAACAAATGCATCCAGACCTGAAAATGACTAAGCTTACCAAGCCAGTTGCAATTAATGTTTCTAATTATGAAGATGCTGTTTTACAAGGGATCGCCCTACAAGATATTCCTATAACCTGGGGCCCTGGAAAATCTTCAGTACATACCATGTTGGTTGTACCCAAGTTACCTTGGCATGTTTTGTTTGGTAACAATCATATAGAAGCCACAGATGCAATTGTTAAACACCAAGAACGAATTGTAAGTTTTAAACATCCCCAAATGAAATTTGCTGTAAAGTGCCCACGGGAACCTCCTGTCCGTCCTTCTGGAAGAGTCGAAACCAATGTCGTATCCTTGAGTGCAGTAGTAGAAACCTCTCAAAAATTATCACCTGGTATTAACATTATCAAAGTCTGTGTAATTGTTGCTACTATTGGTAGTATGATCCTTTCACCTGCCTTGTCTAGTATGATAGCCGACACAATACAGTCATTGGGTAATGGAAGTTGGATTGAATCTAGTCCTCTTTTTACCCCTACATATGCACATGTTATTCCTGGTCCGATTAACCTTGATCAAATACAGCACGAGACTAATGCATTTAAGACCACTTTTGTCAATGTTAAATGCAGTAGTAGCAAGTTTCTTGAAGAACCCAACAATGTAGAAATTGAACCAGAGCAGAAGTTTTATGTCAACCTTGCTGTATATAATCAAAGCAAGCATACCGAGACTTTACCTGTTGGTGTGATTGCCGACATCACACAAATGACTGATGAACATCAAGCTGACTTCTCAAAAGCAGCATCCGAAACAGCCTCAGATATGGCTTGTGAAGCTGTGGTTGAACAATTTGAGCAAGTACAATTACATCAAAACCTTTACCGTAAAGCTCAACACAAGCAAGCAAAAGTTTGTCATGATAATTTACCCCATCCATTTCAAAGTTTTAACCCACTCCATGCCCAGAAAGAGATGAATAATGCATTTCGTAAAAACAGTGAACCAAGTTTTAGTCAATTAACTAACATTTACCGTGCAAATCATTTGATATTGAGTGATGAGAGCCGTGATTTACCTCCTTTAAGTGAAGTGACACCACATTAGATCCATTGTCTGAAGATTACAAAGATATGGTTGTTGAAGCCATCCATTTGCATGACAATTGCAATCTCACCACCACCCAAAGAACTGAACTTGAGTTTCTTATTCGCGATCACGCCCATTTTTTTATGTTACCAGGAGCTCCATTCTGCGGAGTTAACCATGTCGAACATAGTATTGAGACTGGTGATGCTAAACCCCAATACTCGACGCCATATTCCCACTCTCCTGTTCAATTTGTCTCGCACATCAAAATATGGCCTCAGATCATTTTGTACATCCTTCTTGCTTTCTGGCCAACCATCTTTTATAGTGTTCAACAGAGACTGTATACATTGGTCCTGTGCGGTAGCCGCTTGTAGCTCCCGGATTCGCTCATCTGGCACTCCTTTCAAAGCGTTTACTTTCATGACTCTCACCTGTGCGTCAGGAACATCAAGAAAAGCTCGGCGGAGGGTGTCGCCAATAAAAAGTTGACTTCCTTGGATGTAGTGAAATTCAATGTCATAGCGATGAACTCGTAGCATCAGTGCTTGTAGTCTTTTTGGGGTCAGGCTCAGAGGTTTCTTCAGGATTGAGGTCAGAGGCTTGTGGTCATTCTGTACTATGACTTTTCTGCCATACGTATACTGGTAAAATCGTTCAAGACCGAACACCACAGCTAGGGTTTCTTTTTCAATTTGCGCCCAATTCCGTTCAGCAGGATCAGTGCTCTTGAGGCATATTCAATTGGTTTGTCATCTTGCATCAGAGCTGCTCCGAGTCCGTCTTTGCTGCTGTCTACTTGCAACAGTAGCTCCTTGTTGGAATCAAAGTATGCGAGCAAAGGAGTGTTTGTGATCTTTTCCTTGACCTTCTGGAATGCTTCTTGACACTCTGTTGACCAGTTCCACTCCACATCCTTCTTCGTCAGCTCTCGAATGGGTTGCAAATCACCAGCAAGGTTGGGCAAAGACTTAGCCAGATACTGAATCATTCCACATAGCTGCTTCACTCCATGTACATCTGTGGGGGCCGGCATGTCAAGGATAGCCTCTACCTTTGACTTGTCTGCTTTGACTCCTTCATTTGGCGATAATATGGCCCATAACATTGATTTCTGTCTGCTTCAGGACAGTTTTCTCATCATTCATCTTGACTCTCTTCTCTGCGCATCTTTCCTGCAGTGCCAGGAGGTTCTGCTCATGATCAGAATCAGCTTCTTCTCTTGTGTTGCCACTCCCATATATACACAACCAGATCATCTGCAATGCATATCTCACCAATGAGACCAACAAGTGCCTCATAGAGCTTTCGTTGAAATATTTCGCTGCTGACCTTGAGCCCAAATGGGAGCCGGACCCATCTGTATCGTCCAAATGGTGTAATCATGGTGGTGAGTAAGCTAGATTCATTGTCCAGTTGGACATTCCAGTAGGCTTGTTTCACGTCGAGTTTGCTAAATACTCGTGCTTGGCTGAGACTAGGTAGAACATCATCTAGTGTTGGTAGCTTGTAGTGCTCTCTTTGCAGGGCTGCATTTAATGGTTGTGGGTCAATACAGATTCTTAAAGATCCGTTTGGTTTCTTTACAACTGCCATTTGGCTTACCCAAGCAGTTGGTTCTTTCACAGGTACCAGTACGCCAGCTTCAACTAAGTGGTTAAGTTCCTCCTTAACATTCTCTTGCAATGCTAGTGGCAGTTTCCTACATGGAAGTGCTCTTGGTGGGACATTTGGATCAACATGCAGTTGTGTTTCTCCAAACGATCCTAACTGATTAGCGTCAGTGCTTATATGGGTTATGAAGTTGCCATCATTGATTGTAAGTAGTCCTATTTGTTGGATAGTTGAGAGTCCTAGAAGACAGCTATAATTGTTTGGGACAACAATAAAATCGAACACGGTTTCTTCTTCATTCTTTGGATTTGTGATCTTCAGGGTAGTTTCTTCCAATGTGTTGACCGTGGACTTGTTCCACATGATTAATTTCTGTGTGGTGTGTTCCACGTGTGTTGGTCGTACAAACGTTTGGCACAGTGTGTTCACATCGGCTCCAGTGTCAAGCTGAAATCTGCCGAAACCGAATATCAACATATATTGTGTCACAGTCATTTACTTGTATCAGAGCAGTGGCACGGGTTTTATTGGGAACTTCCACAGTTGGAAGCCAGTTGGTATCGGGGTCATCAGATTCATCAGAGTTGCTCTTTGTCTCTAGTGTGTGTACTTTCTTGCACTTGACTTCACAATGGTTTCTGCCTTTACAATGGTTACAGAGTTTTCCCCAGGCGGGATACTTGGTCTTAATGGCTTGATGAGACTTTCCACAAAAATTGAACCCTTTCAGGATGTGAGCGTTATTCCTGTTCTTTTATCGTTCAGGATGTTGCTTTGATGCATAGTTTGAGCATTTCGTATCAGCTATCTGCTCAATCTTCTGCAGTTGACTGCTTTCACTCATTTCCTTTTTATTTCTCGAGGCGATCTCATAGGGTCTGCATATTTCTACAGCTTTCTTCAAGTCTAAACTAGTCTCTCGAGTCGTAATAACAGTTCTTGTTGCTCCCCGGTTACAGTGAAGACTATCTTGTCTCGTATCAGTCTTTCTTTTTCCTTGAAATTGCATGAATCAGCGTAAGAGTACAACTTTGTTAGGAATGTGTCAAAAGGTCTTTGGAAAGACACTTGCCAAAAGCGAAAGGATTGGAGAACTTCATTTTGTCGTGGATTGCAATATTCCTCTAGTTTTTCGAGCACTTTAACAGGATTATTTTTGTCATTTTCTCCTTCAAATTCAAAATTATCATAAACCTCAAGGACTTGCGGGCCTGCACAGTGTAATATAATAGCCGTTTGTCGCTGCTTCGGCTTGTTATTATTCCCACTAGCTTCCATATAAACTGTAACTGACGTTTCCATTCCTTAAAGCTATCTGCCAGATTACGGTCTGTCAGATCGAGCGATGAAGGTAGATGAAATTGTGCCATTTCCATTTAAATAAATATAGATACTCACAAAATACTAAGGATCTTTAAGATAATTAAGGATACATCGCTGCCACCATGTTAAAAGGGACTACAAGTCTGTATTAAGCTCAAATAACTCGCCATGCTTTTTAAGAACAACCACTTACGCATGCGCGCCCGCTTGGACTCCCGACTGCGGGCTCAAAACCGAATATCAACATATATTGTGTCTGATTAATTTTAATCATACCTTCTTCAAAAATGAACTCTAAACCAAGGAACCATGCAGACAATTTTCTTAAATCTTTCATTTTGAATCTTATGGCAAGATTCTTCTTTACATTCATTAGTGTGGCAGTACAACATTGTAGAGGCAATTATCAAGTCATCAACCCAAATGACTATAACTGCCAAAGACTCAATATCTGCCTGTGACTGTGTGAATTCTTCCCTTAGTAGATAAGAATGTAATACATAGTTTCCAATTCCGACAGTTTTTTTAAATCCGTACACTGATTTCTTAAGCTTATATACAAGATGTTCACCATCTTTACCAGCTATTGCAAAGCCTTCAAGTTGTTCTTCGAATAGCTTGCAATCTTTGGGTGCATTTATAAACGCAGACTTCACATCAATTTGGTATAGGATCAAGTTGGGCTGGACTGCTACTGTACAGTAATTGCATAAAAGTTCCAATTGAAGTTAAATGTTCTAAGGGGGAAAACTTTTCATGGTAAACTATATCTGCCACTTGGCAGAATCCCTTGGCCACAAAACGAGCTTTGTGTTTCTAGAACCTCACCATGTGGACCTCGCTGAACAGCAAAGACCTCTCCCCCCCCCCCTTCCTTCCCCCACTATTTTCCTGCCTTTGGGTAGGAGAGTAAGTTTAAAGGTATCATTATTTCTTAATGCTTGCATCTGCCATTTAGAAGAATCCATGGCAGTCTGCTATTTAGAAGAATCATGGGATGAGATTGCTTGTGTGTATGTCTTTTAGTAAAACAATATATGTCTTAGGGACATCAGACATGCAATGACAATAATAAACTGTAAAAGAAATTTTGTCCTGCACTCCTGCTCATCAAAATTATCATTATCTACATAATCGACAATCCTGGTCAAAAATATTGGCGCACTTGACACTGACTGTGCGAAATTTGACTCCCACTTCAATAACAAGCCCTTTCCCCCGTTCAATGTTGTCTGTAGTATGTTATACGTCCAAGGTGTTACACAACATTGATAAGGGGGATAGGGGGTGTTTGGACATGAAATTTTGCATAAAATTGACAAGTATTTATATGGTAATCAGACATGAAGTAAAGGTTATGCTATTTCGACTTAGTGCGCCAAGGATTTTTGACCAGGATTGTAGATACTTTGAGTTGTCCCTCTCTCGGCTGGGGTACAGGAAATCATCTCCGCTAATCACCTCGTATAGTCTTGACGGTCAACAACTGGCTTTGTATAACACTGAAATTGATCTAGGCGTCGTTATGAATTCCAACCTAACGTGGATCAATCAAGTAAACAGGGTGCGATCTAAAGCTAATAAAATGCTTGGATTTATACGACGGTCTACAATGGAAATGCATGACATTGGGGCGAGGAAGTACTTTTACTTACAATTGATCCGCAACAACTTTGCGTATGCGTCTCACGTATGGTCTCCACAAACGAGTGTATTCATTTTACCAGTCAAGCTCGAGCCCGAGTCAAGCTCGAGTCACGAGTCCAATTCGAGTCAAGCTAAAAATTTCTAACTGCATGTATACAATCGTCTACAGACTCTACACACCAGGGTGCATTCATATGGCGGGTAATGTGTGTAAAAATTAAGTGAAACATTTTGACAATGATCTTGAAACATTTGGCATGCATGTCAAACAATTTGGCAATGATTTGTCATCATTTGGCTATTGGTTCTGACTATTTTATGGCAACTTCAAAACATTTGGTGACAATATCAAAATATTCAAGAACAAAAATTCGTTTGACAAAAATTTATTACTGCACTGAACATCATTTGACAATGACCTCAAGTTTGGCAACAATCGTTTCATTTGGCAACAACAAACCCAAAATGCATTGCGAGTTTGCAAATTTAAAAACAAGATGGCGGATCATCATCAACACGACGAAGTATGAGAATCAATTTTAACACGCTTGGAAATGTTTTTAAACGATGTTACGGCAGCTATTTCACCAGATCCTAAACCCCATTTATAAGGTACACCAAATGGTCTCTGAAAATATGAATTTAATCTCCCTGCAGTTCGCATTCTTCTTGTTGTTCTTCTTCCGTTATTTTCTCCATTGAAATTAGAGTCTTACAGTCTTGCATAATTTAGATATCCGCTGTACGTATTGGGATCTTGTGCAGAGAGTACAGCAAGACATCGACATTAATATTAAAGAGATTCAGAGCAATCGCGAATATGATCTATTATATGGAGTTCAGGATCCGGTGAAATAGCTGCCGTAACATCGTTTAAAAGCATTTCCAAGCGTGTTAAAATTGATTCGGAACCACTCAAGCAATTTTAACTATTTGGTTTGCATATCTTGTAAAATGTTTCACCGTTCACAGTTTTATTTGTTTTTAAAAACTGAAAATTCGTGTCGCGTTGCCGAATCGCGTTCGGTCTGTGTGGGCCTTAAAGGTGACTTGCTACACTTTTTAAAAATTAAAGATTTTCTGATTTGAATTTCTGGAGAATTATTGGGAACAATGACGTCACGACATGGCGGATACTTTAAGTTTAAAGTAACTTAACTTAGTTAAAATTAGAGTAAGTAATACGTTTCTTTACGTCTAAAAATATGATATTTCAATAATATTCAAAAATAGGTTTTGCAAAGCCTGCACAATTGGTTGTCGGCTTACCCACTCGCAAATTAGGAATTACAGTACGTACCGGGTTTCTCACAAACAGAATTCCCATAGTCGTTGTCTCACTTATCTGTACACTGGCTTGTCCACAGTCCCACAAATATATAGCGGTTCCATGGACTTTACCGTAAAAGGACGCCCATATGCATATGGAAATAAACCATCGCATTCCCATCATTCAACGGGAGATAAGCGACTGGGCCGAGTCAGGTTTGTGGAACAACAAACAACAAGCGACGGTGAGAATGTAAATAAAGTAAGATGCGCTATTTCATAAAGTATACTTACCTGCATCAAAATTGAAAATTAAACTATAAAAATTGTCAAATTAACGTAAAAAGCGCAAAAACGAAGTTTATACTGTAGGTTGACTCGAATTTGACTCGTGACTAAAAATTGACTCGTGACTCGTGCTTGACTCGGGCTCGAGCTTGACTCATGAAATTACCAAACTCTCCACAAACAGTCAAATTAATCGCGAAAATCGAAAAGGTGCAGAGAAGGGCGACAAAATACATTTTAAATCTCGGTTTTATCACCAACGTTCCATATACAACAAGACTACTTCAACTCGACTTACTTCCCTTAATTTAACCTATTGCCACGAATATTTGGATTTAGTTCTACTCTACAAAATAATCAATGGTTACACATATATCGATGACAGTGCTCGACCAACAATGGCTGGTTCTGGAATAACGAGGAGCGAAACAAGTGAGAACGTATATAAATTTTCAATACCATTTGCCAGTACGGTGACCTTCCAAACTTTTTATTTCATTAGAGCATGTAAAACATGGAACATTTTGGGCTGTGATCTTTGTCACAGAGATATTGTTCTGAATACCTTTAAATCAAAACTTAAGACATATTACGAACATGCGCTATCCAAAATATACAATTGTGACGATCCACGCACATGGAAGTCCATATGTGTTAAATGTAAAGGGCGAGGTCCCTGGACGGTGTTTTAAGATGTTGCTAGTTGCATGAATGTTATGTTTTGTTGTATGTTATGTGATGTTTTGTTATGCGTATTGTCAGTTGTCAATTATTTATTAAATTATTCAATATTAATATTAACGTGATTTAGATGTAATTATTAAGGACTCGCCGTAATTGGGGACACTGTGGCGTGTATCTTGGCACTACATTGTTATAATATAAATTTAGTAGTTGTCGAACATTATTAAATCATTAAATCATGTACCTAACAGTAACTGCTGGGGTAGGAATGACATTCGGGTCAGAATTACTTGTATTTCCTCCTGGATCACTTCCTGAGCTATTGGTGGTATTGGGCAACCCCCTATCTTTCTCCTTGGCATCTCAAATATTGACCTCCACTGTCGCTCAGCCCTACCATTTTGGTGCGCTGAATACGGTGCAGACTTCTCATGCTTTATGCTGCCTCAATAAGAGATTTTGAAAAGGTTCGGAAGTGAATTCAGTACCATTATCACTCCTTAAACACTTAACTTTAAGGCCGTTTTCCACTAGGCGAAATTTTCCGCGCGGAGTGAATTTTCCGCCCGAAAAGGCTATGTGAGCATGCGCAATAGCTATTTAAATTTTGCGATTGGCGAAAAGCGCTTTCGCTTGGAAGTTCAACCCAATCCGACTTTTTCCGCTTTCCGCCCGTCAAAGAAACAACATGGCGGACAACATGATGAACGAAGAAAGCCGTGGAAGATTTACTTCTACTATAAACTCGTTGAAAGAGCTTCTTGCCAGATCACAACACGAAGAAGAACTTAATAAACTGGATGAAGGATCAGTTACTGAACTGTTTGGTCACATACAACAGCAACAACAAATGGGAAACACATCTCAAAGTATTCCAAATATTGCAACAGAATCAACAGAGCAAGGTTAGCAGCAAATCCTCTTTTATTATTGTCTTATATCCACTCATATCACATCAGAGGTCTACATATTTTGGTAATTTTCTCGTTATATCTTCTGAATATATTGTCATTATTATTTCAATAATTCCATTGATTTTGATCTTTTTGATTTGAATTTTGAATACTATATACTTGTATTTATACTGAGAATTTTCAAACATTTCACATGTATACAGCGTGTAATACTTGAAGTACTTCGCTTCGTACAGTAACTTTGTGGGAATGACAACTCTGCTCCCCCACATAATACATCCTTGGTGCACAGTTAGTTCGTTTCTTCGAGAATAAAACGGTTGCAGGTTGGGGTCTTTATTTTCATGCCAGCCTTTCATGACATGCTCATACACTTGAGCGAGGGTAGAATCTCGTTGGGTTGCTTTGCGTACATGCTGGCAAGTGACAGGCAACATGCTGAACTGTGAAACATGAAATGCCTCAACCGGGTCAACAGACTGATTTTCTTCGTCTTCAGTTGTTGCTAGAGGTAGACGAGACAATCCATCTGCATTACAAAGCTGTGTTGAATTACGGTGTTCAATCTCGTAGTCAAATTCTGAAAGGAACGGTGCATATCGTTGGAGTCGAGCAGCAGTCGTTGCTGGTATAGCCTTGGTTGGACTGAAAATTACTGTCAATGGTTTATGATCTGTTCGCAGGGTGAAATGTCGTGCAAATATGTAAGCATGGAATTTCTTCACACCCCATACTAAAGCCAATGCTTCCTTATCTATCTGAGAATAATGTTTTTCAGTTTTTGTAAGGGATCTTGAAGCATAAACTATTGGTCGTTCAGTATTATCACCCATGACCTGTGTTAAAACTGACCCCAACCCCTACGGAGATGTATCATATTCTAACTTGATTGGGCGTTGAGGGTCATAATGTGCAAGGACTTCCTCGGATGCAATTAACTCCTTTGCTTTCAGAAAAGCTTGCTCATATTCCGAGGTCGATTAATTTCCACCGTCTGTCTTTTTCGAGCAACTAGTTTAGTGGTTGAAGTAAGATAGAAAGGTTTGGAAGGAAATTGTGGTAATAATTAATAAGACCAACAAAGGAACGAACTTTGGAAACATTCTCAGGACGTGGTGCATTTATCACATCATTCACTTTCTGTTGGGACTTCTGCAGAGCCAGCTTGCTGATCTCATGACCACAGAACTCGATTCTTTCTTTGAAGAATTCGCATTTACTGCTGTTGGCTCTGAGACCATGTTTACTAAGTCGACTGAGAACCTCTTCTAGGTTGTCAAGATGCTCTTGGTCGGTTGTACCAGATATGATCATATCATCATATCAAGGATACATTGCACATGGGGAATTCCTTCCAATATCTGATCCATAGCTTGTTGCCATATTGCGGGGGCAGATGCTACACCAAGTACAACGTGCAAAACGTGTTGAACGTGCAAAACTGGTTTGATGGTTTGCTTGAAATCACCACACAATCGAACATTGCCATTCTTCTTTATCACTGGAACAACCGGGGTTGCCCATTCACTCCAACCAACTTTGGTCAAGATGCCATTATTCTGCAACTTGGTCAACTCAGCTTCAACTTTTGGTCGCAGAGCATATGGTAATTGTCTTGCTTTGCAGAACTTTGGCTGGCTGTTTTCTTTCAGGTTGAGCTTTGCTTTGGTAGTCTTTTGCAGACCAATACCTTCTTCGAAAACATCACTATACTTATCGAGGATCTCTTGTAATCGGGTTGATGGATTTCCTGGTGGTGTGGTTGCCAATATGTTGATTGCTTTCCAATCTAGCGTGATCTTTTCTTGCCAGTCTCGACCAAAAAGGGCATGCCCATTTGTTTCGACCACATACAAATTTAGCTTCTGCATATCTTCTTTATACTTAACTTGAACATTCAAGACTCCTACGGCTTGGATTCTCTCCCCGGTGTAGGTTTTGCGGACAGTGGTTGTTGGGTGGAGTTTGCTTGACTTAAACGTTGTGTTATATTTACTAAGTGGAAGTACAGATACAGCAGAGCCAGTGTCGACTAATTCCATTCGCAGGGGTTTCCCTTCCACTTCAGGGGTTACCCAGATTATATTAGTGTGGGCTTTGGAAACCTTGTGCAGTTCTAGGGATGCCAAGGTGTCCTGGCTATCACTATCACTTTCGTTTTGAACCTTATGTACTTCCGGGCCCCTTTTTTTTTGCTCGAATTTGGCTTGGTAGGGGAATTTTGTTTAAATGGCTTCCCCCTACATACACGTTTTATATGACCCTTTGCCCACAGTTTCTACAATATTGATCTTTAAAATAGCATTCCTGGGGTTCGTGCCCTTCTTTCCCACATCTGTAACATTTATGTTGCATTGGGACTTCACGAATACTGTTCACAGGAGGTATTGTCTTCGCTTTCCCCCTCAACTCAAGTGAATCTTTTATGGCCGTTTCCATGGCAACCGCAAGTTTTAGCGCTTTCTCGAACGTAAGGCTGGTTTCGACAAGTAAGCGTTTCTGAATAGATTCATTGTATAGTCCACAAACAAATCTGCCCCTTAACGAGTCATTTAACGCTGTACCAAACTCACAGTGTTTGGATAACTTCTTAATTTCAGCCACATAAGTATTAATATTTTCATCGTCTCTTTGATCCCGCTTATGAAATCTAAATCGTTCTGCAATCAGTAAGGGTTTGGGCGACAAATATCCCTTTAAGATTGCCACTATTTGATCAAATGATTTGGTCGAAGGTTTATCAGGGGAAGTCAGTGTTCGTAATAAACTATACGCCGTCTTACCTCCAATTACTGTCAACAAAACTGGATCGGAACTCTTTTATCATCGGCTACATCGTTCGCAAGGAAATACTGTTCAACTCTTTCTATATATGCAGTCCAATCGTCGCGTGTTTCATCAAATTCTTCTAGTTTTCCGATCGAATTCATCGCTCTATTTTGTGTCACTTCAGACGTAGACGCCATTTCTGTGACTTGAACCCATAATCAATTGTTTTTAATCTTCGTCGCCAATGTAATGTTCTTCAATATTCATTGTGCTTTTTAATATCATGTCCAAAACAACTGTCATGCCTCGTGGTGATGACCCCAAAGCATCATGGGTCATACACCACATGTAGTTTCCTTGGGTACTTATAATGTAGAATAATGAAAAAAAAATTCTCGAACTCAAATTTTGTGAACCAGGGGGGAGGGGACTGTCTTTTCCAACAAACTAAAAATGGCTTGCGCACGAAATTTAAAAGCTTTAATCATATTTTGAGTTTTTAGATGAAAAATTTGTTAGGTTTTTAATTATTGTACAAAATTTGAGACAATTTGCTTTAGTTTAAGCCCTTTAACTAATAATTTTTTCCTAAAAAATCAGCCTTTTGCATGCTTAATTAATGCCTTTACATAATTTGCATATTGCTGACATATGCAAATTAGGCAAAGGCATTAATTAAGCATGCAAATAGCTGATTTTTAGGGGGAAATGTACATTTGCGCAAATAGTTAAAGGCTTAAACTAAAGCAAATTGTCTGAAATTTTGTACAGTAATTAAAAGCCCAACAAATTTTCTATCTATTAACTCAAAATATGATTAAAGCTTTTAAATTTCGTGCGCAAGCCATTTTTAATCTGTTGGAAAAGACACAACCCCTGGTTCAGAAAATTTGAGTTCGACAAATTTTTTTCATTATTCTACATTATTATAATTAGTACCCAAAGAAGCTATATACATAAAAAGTGGATACTAATAGATGTTTTGCGAAATTGAGAGCAATTTCAAATCTGTTCAGTTTTTTTATACACCCTGTAGATTGTGTAATCATTCCCATCACAGATACATCGCAATCAAACTTATTCTTATCAACCACTTTCATCCCATCTACAACATCTTCCAGAGCAAGAACATCTTTCAAGTTACAATGGCCCAGTTCATATGCCAATCCCTCAAAGATTTATTCTTACTATTTTTCTTGACCATACCAGAAACAACGTATATTCAAATAGTACAAGTCATAATTTTGAATTCAGTGCCATTCGGGTAAACAAGGTGTGCATCATCACATGAAAAACAAACAGTAGCACCTTTGCTGGTTGCAGTCGGTACAGGAAATATATCGGCTCTGTTTGTAGGAAGGTACATATATACAAAGCATTGGAAAGAATTGACTCATGAACATTACTAAACAACATTGTTTGTATATCGTCACTGCATTTTGACTTTATATATTGCGTCGATGATTTAAGAGTTTAGGTTTTTGTCGAGTGTCGAGGGGGGAGGTCGAGTGTCGAGGGTCCAATGTTGAGGGTAAAAAGTCGGGGTGGTATAAAAAATCGAGGGTCATATAAAAATATTTTATTTTATTTTTATTGTCGAAGTAAAAAGCTTGAGGGTACTTTTTTAATGGTAATTGCTATATTAGTAGGGTATTTCAACTGGAATGGTGATATATTTCAACTGGAATTTTGCCTTAATTTAATGAAGCATATTGCTATTGCTGGCTTGAGGATTACAGATTACCTTTCCCTGGGGGTAAATAACCGTCCGGAATTAGTATCCACGCCCGGGCTTACGCCTCGGGGATGATAATTCAAGCATTCTTAATAAAGATTAATATTCAATTCTTAAATGTATTTCATTGCTTTAAGTTTGAAGCGAACTATGTTTCTTATACATGCATCATATTCTATCAATTTAGTCTGTTAATTAATAAAGTTATAAAGGTACGATTATAGTTGTGCTGCTGGTGTGACTGAAAGTGCTTTTGGTGCAGTTTATTACTAACATTATTTATTACTTATGAGAGATAGAAATGTTAGTACAAGAAGTTGTAACTCTCTTACAAGTAACGTCTTATCACCACTACAGTTTTTACCAATAAAACGTACGAAAATTTTAAATTTCAGTTTCATTTTCTTGCATCTCATTCAAATGACTATAGGTATGATCTTCATCTTCGTTTCCAGTTCTGTAATTCAGAGCTGTGTATGTTGGATCGTCAACTCGTACATCGTCATAGGTCATCTCGTCATCTCTGTCGCCACGTGTATCAAATGGATGATCGTAAACAACATCATTCTTTGTTGCATTTGTTGTTTCCTTGTTACGAAGTATTATACTAGCGATGGATCTTTTCAATGTTCGATTTTGATAAACAAAATAAACAATGAGGATGAGCAATATTGTTACAAGAATTGGGAATACTATAATACCAATAAGAAGTTTCCAATCTTCACTATCTTTATCTGCATCTATAAGTTAGAATTGAGAAGTGATTTAATATCGTAGGAAATAATACAAATAAGAAATAATAGATCTTTATTGACTTTATTGGGCGCCAACGGTCTCTCCATAACGAATAAATTAAAATCGTCCGGCATTAGACAGAGTAAAATAATAAGGCAGGACAAATTAGGGCGCAATTCAACTTAAGAGCATTATACTTAATTAATTTTGCGCAGATATCACTAAAAGTTATCAAATAAATGCGCAAAACATGCAAAGTACGGGTAATACGGTAAGTGTTTGGTGTTTATTTTCGGCCGAGATCAAGGAGGGATTTGGCGAAATGCTACTAGAAGTGATGAAGTTTTTAACACTGAGAGTATGTTTGGAAAACATATGTATGCGAATTTCTATAAATGATATATTGCATTGTGACATAGCATACTCAAATTAGCGATTCCCAGCAAGCCTTTCGCGCTCGTATTCGACTTTTCCGCTTTTCTCGGGGACAACCTTAATTGAAATATTGGATTGACACATATTGGATTGCAAATTTGAGTTTGTAAAGTGAAAAGTGAATTCTAAATAAAGATTTTTTTGTGTGAAGTCGGCTCTCAGATAATTTGTCTGACAACATATATTTAGGACAAGGAACTTTCAAGGAATTTTTCTTTGAAGAAATGCGAGGAATTGATTTACAATAGGAAAATGTAAAATATACATGGCAAGTTTTCTTTGAATGTTTAATATTTATGAATTTTGTTTCTTTAAATATTTTCTTTAAATGTTAGCTAAATTACACTGTAGAATTTAGGAAAAAAATTAAATGTAAATAAGAGCAGATTAATTTCAAAGCCGAAATGAAATCACTCAACAATTTTAACCTCTTTTGTTTTATAAAGTTAAGTTCGACATTTGTCGGCAAAGTGTACAGTTTGTTTCAATGAACATTTGTTACATCTACATTAAATTAAAGCGCGCAAAGTATAAATTTCGGAAATTACTAGTCATTCAACTAATATTTTGATTTTCAATTTTTTAACTTAAATTTTAAAATTCAAATAAATAAAAATTTATAAGAAAAAATATATAAGAAAAAAATATATAGGAAAAAATAAAAATTTGAAAACGAATGTGTTGCCATGGCAACACTTGAAGTACAACGCTAGCCTGCGTTAAGGCCGGTTTCCATTGCAGTCGCTTTGCCCGCGCGGGCGGAGCGGACTTTGAAAACCTGCTCACGCGGGCGTGACGGGCGTCAAAATCAATGAACGCTTCGCCCGCGCGGGCAAAGCGAACGTTAATGAAAAACGGCCTTTAAGTGCTGGCCAAATGCTTATACTTCATGTTAATTAAAGCCTTCTTGACATCATTTCTGTGATTGAAATTGAATATAATTTTTGTTAATGAAGGATGCCAAGAAGATGTATTAATATGCACGAAAAAGAATATTTAAATGTATATTTTGGAAGTACATGGTCTATGCAGCAACGATAATCACTGCCACAACTGTTACAGTAAAAGAAATATTGAGAATACTCACCAGCAAAAGCTGTTGCTTTAACCAAGACATCAGAGTTTTGAAATGAAGCCTTCAAAACGAAAATATATAATAAATGTTTACAGCCGTTTATTCTGTTAACGGTTATTCAGACCATGGATAAGTTTAGAGCCCGGTTTTATCCAACTGCTTGTAATACAGTTTTTACTATGGCAATTGCTAGATTGTATACTTCAAAATAAGGTTTCCCTTTTTATATCAATTTTTAAAAATGTTAGGGTTAGGTTGAGGTTTAGGTTGGGGTTAGGGTTAGGTTAGGATTAGGGATAGTATTAGGGTTAGGGATTAGCTTTGCGTTAAGATAGTTTTTTCTACGTTAACAAAAAAGAAACCTTATTTTGAAGTATACTATCTAGCGATCACTTTCTACTATATAAGTATAGACTGAGATTTATCTTCAGTAGAAGAATGAAATAAAAATTGTCTTCCCAGGGAAGAAGATTTTCAGCTTCAATTGTGAAAAATATTGTTTTACTCGCAATTTGAGTGGTCGGACGGTATTTCTCGCATCGAAGAATTATCGACTCAGCGTTTTGATTTGCTAGTATTTCCAGCCATTACAATGTTGTTTTGGCGCTGTAGAGTAAACATTTCGTTATAAAAAGATTCTGTTCGTCACATTTCACATATGAAATGAACATTTTCGCTTGTGAAATGTTCTAATTCCATATAAATTATATGTGAAATTCCGTAAGGGTTATTTTTGGGTGAACAGTACTCAGTATCCAACAAAATACCTGTAGTTAAACGTAGCTAAGAGAAAAGAGATTTATTCAATCGGTTACGGTCCTATTACTTGCGCATACTCGATATTTCAAGTACCTTTTAACAAATTAGCAATATCAACAACAACAACAACAACAACAACAACAACAACAACAACAACAACAACAACAACGACGACAACGACAACGACAACGACAACGACAACGACAACGACAACGACAACGACAGCGACAGCGACAGCGACAGCGACAGCAACAGCAACAGCAACAGCAACAGCGACAGCAACAGCAACAGCATCAGAAACAGCAACAGCAACAGCCACAGCAACAACAACAGCAACTATATCAAGACTTGCTAAATATAACTTACCCCATTTTTATCATAAAACACACGTATAAATATTGCGTATTGTATATTTTCATTGAGAGGGGCATTTCGGTATTCAATGACACCTCTGCGTTTTCTTCTGGTAATGAGAGTTGTCTCCACATTATCTCCAACAATGATTTTCATATCGCTTTGGTAGTCATTTTTTATTATACTTATGTACGCCTTCTTCCCACTATTTGAGTTGTCGAAGTTCGTTAGGTCACTCTGAGGTGTTGCACGAAGGACGTTCTCGTTCTCATTGGTAGACCAGCGTTTGACAATTACGCAGAAATACCTAAATCAAAATACCATTAGTCGTATTAGTCACCAGTATAAATACTGTCTGAAAAAAATTTTCGTTGTGGTTTTGTATACAGGGTGTATAAAAAAAACTGAACAGATATGAATTTGTTCTCAATTTCGCAAAACCGCTATTAGTATCCAGTTTTTTATGTATATAGCCTCTTTGAGTACCTATAATGTAGAATAATGAAAAAATTATCTAACTTAAATTTTGTGATACAGGGGGGGGGGTGTCTTTTCCAACAAACTAAAAATGGCTTGCGCGCGAAATTTAAAAGCTTTGATCATATTTTGAGCTAATAGATGGAAAATTTGTTGGGCTTGTAATTACGGTACAAAATTTCAGATAATTTGCTTTAGTTTAAGCCCTTTAACCATTCACGCAAACTTTCATTTTTTCCTTAAAATCAGCTATTTGAATTGCATGCTTAATTAATGCCTTTGCCTAATTTGCATATGTCAGCAATATGTAATTTTTTCCATTATTCTACATTATTTATAAGTACTCAAAGAAGTTATATGCATCAAAACTGGATACTAAAGCTGTTTTGCGAAATTGATAGCAATTTCCAATCTGTTCAGTTTTTTTTATACACCATGTATAATTGGATCTAAAAAATAATTTAGGTGGAAAAAGCTTTGGCCGACACCTTCGATACGGATTGCTCAATGGTTGGTATATGGAAACGGCCATGCAATAAAGATCATATAGTGAAATTTGGTTGTCTGGAAAACGCGTGCACGTACACGCGTACACGTACACGCGTGCACGTACACGCGTACATGGAAAACGCGTACATGGAAACGCGTACATGGAAAACGCTTACATGGAAAACGCGTACATGGAAAACGCGTACATGAAAAACGCGTACATGGAAAACGCGTACATGGAAAACGCGTACATGGAAAACGCGTACATGGAAAACGCGTACATGGAAAACGCGTACATGGAAAACGCGCGTACATGGAAAACGCGTACATGGAAAACGCGTACAATGTTCATTTGTAACGTTAATTAAAACTTGGCGGTTTTATTGGAAGTCCTCCTGCAGACCTAGTGATTGTGTCAATGATGGTCAGATCATGGCCTCCGTGAAGGACAACTTCACAGTGGACTACGTAATGTTTAGTACTTTCATTGTGTTCCAACATGCGTCCAGAAAAAGCAGCCGTGTTTCCAACCACCTCACGCTATTATCCCATACACGTGAGATAATGCCACTTCTCCGTGATGAACATTGGAGATATATTAATCACACATTCGGAAACCTCACAATCCAATGAAGAAACATTTAAAATTATGCACTGACGCTTATAGAAAATTATCTATTATTTTAAATTGTTAAGATTTTCTTTAGCATATAGTTTATTGATCATTTATAGACCCGAAGCGAGGGGGATTCGGCGGAATATTACCCGAAGTGATGATATTTATTTAATATTTAGTGAAATATACATATATAAGTACAGATTCTGTACTAAAACCACTAATTCTGTTTTGTGATTGGCGCCGTTTAATCAAAGAGTCTTCCAGTTCAACCAGAGCCTTCGCGGTGTTTCAATTTATTATTTACTGTCGAAGGCTCTGGAATCCAGGGTAGACATAACCCCAAACCCTTATTAAATTAGGTGTAAGTATAAACTTTACATGCCGTGGAACGACATGGTGATACAACATGATTAGATCAAACTAAGGGGCCGATTACATGGAGCATTTTCAACCCCGGGGTTGAACTCAGCCCTGTTAACCGAGTTGAATTTTTTTACGATTACATAGACGATTTCGACCCCGGGGTTGAAACGTTATACTATACGTTCTCGGCATCGATTCGCGGAAGTAAAAAAGCCTTTATTTTGTTTTCTTGTAATAAATAGTCACTACCACGTATGCTCGAATAACACATGATAATTTCAGCCCTGGGTTGACACAATCACTAGGTCTGCAGGAGGACTTCCAATAAAACCGCCAAGTTTTAATTAACGTTACAAACTAGAAAATACATGCATGCAGAAACCCTCGCCTTGCTGACAAAACAGTTGTATTTTCCGAACATGAAGTATCTAAAGTAATTGTCATGGTAACACGATAATTTTTAAAGAATATTCTTACAAATGAAAATCGCCTAAAAATATCACTTTTAATTACAAAATTATCAATTTCCCAACATATATATGTTAGGTATGTAATTATACGTAATACAAGCTTCAATTTAAGGTAAAATTCAACCACAAACAATTCACAAAACGTTTTAAAGTGTTCTTTATAAAACTAAACTGCCTTTATAAACTATTGAATGGCTTTATCGATAAACTTTGAGTTTGCAATAAAATTATTTCAAATTCTCGCTTGCAAATAACTTTGCTTTATTTTTTATTTAAAAAATTCAATATAATAAAAAAGAGAATCAATATTAAAGATACACTGAAATTATATGCCGTCTTATTTAGTTGTTTCATATACGCAAAGGCCGTCGAGTTTTAAAACCATTATAAAATCAATATTTAAAACAAACTTACCTTCGTTAACGTCGGCTCCCTTCTTTCAGCTGATTCTTTCGCCCTTTCTTTCTTGAAATTTACAAAATCTTGCAGAAATACGAGCAAAAATGAAGAATATTTGCAAGAAATTTATCAATCATCAACTCATCAAATCAAGAAATGTTTGCTATTTCGCTGTCGTCATGCAGTCGTTATAATGCAAAGTTTAAATTGGACCAATCAGTGTCCGTTATTCATGACAGTCCGCCATATTTTTGAGATCAGTGAGGATGACCACCCATCGTTGGTGACCGACGCCCGCGCTCATTGATGAACTTTAGACTTCGCTAATGCTTTCTTTTCCCCGGGTGTAAATAGCCGGGGGGAATTAGTACCCTCGCACGGCGCTTCGCGCCGCCGGCTCGAGGATGAACATTGTACGCGTTTTCCATGTACGCGTTTTCCATGTACGCGTTTTCCATGTACGCGTTTTCCATGTACGCGTTTTCCATGTACGCGTTTTCCATGTACGCGTTTTCCATGTACGCGATTTCCATGTACGCGTTTTCCATGTACGCGTTTTCCATGTACGCGTTTTCCATGTACGCGTTTTCCATGTACGCGTTTTCCATGTACGCGTTTTCCATGTACGCGTGGACGTGCACGCGTGTACGTGCACGCGTTTTCCAGACAACCGTGAAATTTTATACTACTGCAATCAGAGTTGTTTATTAATGTGTATGTAAGGTAATCTAAATTTTAACATTAATATCTAAAAAAATGTGGCCAATTTCCCGCAATGCCCTGCCAAATACCCACTATTGTTGGGTGGAGCAAGGTAGGGTAGGGCGTGGAAATACCATGGTTGGTGTATGGAAGAAGATACCAGTGCGGACGAAAAATATTACCCGCTGTATCAACCACAAATGGCAAAATTATCAGTCCACACAACTGGTGTTATCAAGCCTTTCCTGTAAAACAATACACAACATTCACAAGCTCGCATTCTTCACTTGCGATGCATGAATACGCATACAGTGTATAGGGAAGACAAAAAGCGAAACAAAGAAATGCAATCAAGTGTGTGACATAAGTATCGACATAAATCCAAGAAAGGACAAGAGCAAATTCAAAACAACATTCTTTCCGTTTTATCTTCGTAAACCTCAAAGGAAACGTTACTCTTTTTTCTTACTTAATATTGCTTCACAAGCAGAAGATACGTGAATAAGACAGCACTTTCAAAGCACGTAAATTATTATGGTTTAATTGAAGGGACAAGCAGCTGCCTCCTCCGCAGGCCCTCGTTGTGTCATGGGAAGGTAACGATTTCGAGAGGGCCTGCGGAATCTTGTAAAATGAATAAATGTTGTTTTGAACCTGCTTCGTTAAAGAAGGCAGTTTTATTCATGCAACGTTGGTGTGGACAACAAACCTTACCGTTAAAAAATCCTTCCTTCCACGTCCTTATAGAGTCGCCAGTTTATTTTACAAGTTTTACACCGCTTTTTGATATCTGTTTATATTCAAGATTATGTAGAAATTTACTTGCTGACGTGACGCCGGCGCCATTTTTTTCCAAGATTCCGCAGGCCCTCGCCAGATCGTGACCTTCCCATGACGCAACGAGGGCCTGCGGAGGAGGCAGGGACAAGCAGGTCGATCCCACATCAAACCGTGTATAAGTTGTACAGCGAATCTATGTCCAAGAAAAGATGGCTATCCATCCTCAATGAAGAAAAATCACTTTTAAACTAGTGATCGGAACTTGTACCTTAACATATAACATTATAAGGGTTTTTTGATATTGAAACTTGCACTTGAAAATTTGAATACGAACATGAACAATAAACAATTTAGTCTGACGATTGCCAATTGGCGTTAAGCTCAACGGTATAACAGACTTAGATTTTAAATTTTATTTTACTATAATTTGGTATCATGCAAATAGCTCAATTATCATTAGTGTCAAGAACTCTCTTGTTGGAATGACTAACCATAGGAACTATTAATACGCGTAGGAACTATACGTATAGGAACTATACGCATCAGAGTCATTGCATAGAAGGGTGGTCGTATCAGGAAATGTAAAAATATAGCAGAAACGCCTTTAATCTTAAGTCTAATAAGTACTGCAGGTAAACTACACTGTATCTGACATAAAAACATTGGATTGACCTCTTATACTATTAAAGGGCGATTAGATCACGTGGTTTCTAAGTTTCATGGTTGAAAATTGATCAAACAGCTACAACATACCGAAAAACTGCGTGTAGAAAGTGAATAATAAAATATTTATTATATTTACTCGAAATATTATTCCAAAGTTGGGAAGCTGAAGTTTCATATAGATAGGTTGCAACGATCAATCGCAAACACACCCAGGAGTTTTACCGTTTTGTACAGTTATCTTGCTGACTAGATGAATGAATGACTGACCGAATTGAAATCATTTGAATTGAATTGGACTGAATTGAGCTAAATCGCATAGCTCAGCAAGTGTAAAGCCATTTGAAAAAAATTACTTACTGTATTTTTGAGCTTTCTGAAGATTTTATTCTTGGCAGTGTGAATCCTATCTGCGTTGTGTCATCACTTACACCTACTACCAAAGTGGCCCGAAGTTTGTTCCCATGCAGATCTAAATAAATTACGAAAACAATTGAATGCATCGGAACGAAGAAATATAAATTGGCGTTTCCGGTTTGGATTTAGATATATAAGTTTTTCGATTTTCTTGTTATGGCGCAATTATAGCAGTCTTCATTACTGTGTCATTTGTAGTGAAAATCATTTTTATTTTCCCCTTTTGTTTGTATTTAAAGTGCACTTGTTATAGAAATTGGCAAAGTACAAATTTTGTATGTCAGTACAAGTCAACAAAGAAAATTTGGCAAAGTAATTTGAGAACGTGCATGCACTGATTGGTCAGCGATTTAATGTTGTAATACTTAATAAATAATAGCAATTGTCGCGGTCAGAAAACCAAAAACTTGTCGTGGAGTATTTGTTGTAGGTACATACATGCAAATGTTAAATATGAAAACTTGTCATAGCTTTAATTACGACTATAGAATGTTATTGCATAAAATAAACCATACATTATGTTATTAAACATAGTGGCGGTAAAACAAAACTAGATGCACGCACAGAGCGTTTATAGTTAAAAAATAATAATTATCATAAAATGATTGAAATTTTGAAACCGTACAGAAAAATGGATGACATTCTTAATCATTGCACATGCATAGTGATAGTATGCAATTCAACTGAGACTGTGGGATTTCGGTATTGGAAGTGATGAATGAAAATCGGATATGCATTAATATTAAATCACATTCTGCCTCTGTAGCTGTGCAGAATTTGAATCTTTCACTTACCACTTTCATTAGTTTTTCTTTGCGTTGTGTCAGCAGGTCCTTCGCCAATCTTCGTAAAAGCCGATAGTAATACATGATACGTGGTTCCTGGCCTTAGATTCGTTATTACGTATGAACCAATTTGGGCAACCAATGTATCTATGCAGCTAACTGAACTATCTGTCGAATGCCAGCACACTTTGTACTTTGTTATCACACCATTAAGCTGGAAGGGTGGAGACCATTTCAGGGATATTGTTGTCAAACTAACAAATGTAGATTGGGTATCTATAATTGGAACGCCAGGCCCTATAAGGCAGCAAAGAATAACTGAATATGTAACTGAACCAAGACCACTGTAATCTATTAAGCAGGATTCACTGTCGAAGTGCCTGTATAGATTATTTTAATTGGCAATGCTTAACTTCAAAAAGTACAAACAACTTATATAGCAAAATTGGAGAGATTAGTGACACATAGATAGAATTGTGTGGCACTGAGGTGAGCCGCACTATAAACGATTAAGTAAATCACTAATTTCTTTAATCTAATTAACAACGTTCCATTAGATAATTAAATCTGAAAATAGCCTACCAGCTAAACTGAAAACGGCTTTTTTATGCCTCAAGCTGACATGCTTTTCCGATTATTACATAACGAGAAATACATGATTAAATGCAGCAAATCCTTCTCTATATTTTCCAAATATTGTTTCAACATCCTTAATTACGCCAAGACTGAACACATGTACAGGCTCGCGTCGTTCGCGTCATGTTAGCCATGACATGCAACACGATAATTGTTTTTTTAAATTTTTTGTGACAAAACTGAAAAAAAATAAATGAAACGTGAACGCTTTTAACCACAGAACTATCAATTGCTAAAATATGTAACGTATAGGTATGTTTTTTTTGCATTATGTGGGCTTTATTTTAATGTAACATTCAAGGGCCGGTTGTATAAAGCTCTTAATCACTTTTTAATCACTATTTTGTAGTTAAATTGTGGTTAACTTTAGTCACGTAGTTAACTCGGTTGTATAAAAAAAGTGGTTAGCGTTAACTATAGTTAAAACGTAGTTAAAGTTAACGATGCTTTAGGGTATCGTTAACTTCTCAAAACGTAGTTAAAAATGGCGCTTGTATAGGAGTGAACAACAGTTTTCAGTAAAACAACAATGAGAAGTAATGCTTACCTGGGATTTTCAATCGCTATCTTCCCTGTGAATGTTTTCTGACAATATAAACTCTTCAAACGCTATCGCTTTGGTTTTTCGGCGAAAACAAAATATATTTTTGCACGGGAAGATTTCTCGAAGACGATGTAGGGCCCATTACACGAAGAAACATGATATATAATTGCCAAACAGTTATACTTTGGTTTAATGTAGACATCCCAAGTAAAAATGGCCTTCTTCGTTGATTTTTTCGTTGTTTTCTTGTATATTTTCACTGTTTTCAATAAAATCACAGAGGAGAGATAGTACAGAGAGGAAACAGACACCTCGATAATCTGAATTTTTGTGTCACGCGTTCTAGCAGGTTCCACGCGCCACGCAAAATCTTCCAGACAGTGCCGTCGCTGAAATTTCGTAAGAAAAGATAGGGAAAACGCCGTTCGAAAGGTGAAAATGGATTTTTTTTAAAAATGAGATACCCATGGAAATTTTTTCCAATAATTAAATTATTGTAGAATAACGGTAAGCGATCACTTTTATTGATTTCCTTTTATTAAAAGTGTTAACATAACATTTTATTTCCCAAAAGTGTTTTTTTTCCCTATCTATACTCGTTATTAAAATCGTGAAAAGCACTGGCTGGAGGTTTCAGATGTTCATATATAAAAAACAAAGCAGCGAACGATATAAATGCCTCAAAAAATAACTCTTGCATAAAAAAATGTTTATTTCTATAATACGTATAGTTTTTTCCTCTGCATGGTAAAAATTTAATAAAATACCGAATTAATATAATTTTCTATAGTAAATAGACTAAATATATCGGCGTGACACAATTTGCCGCGTGTTTTCTCTCTGGTATATCTTTTCTCTGTGATAAAATTCCCGCCTATTTGCAAAATGAAAGTCCACAATCATGCTAAAAATGCTTGTCAGCGGTCGTTAATCGCTGCTTACTTTATGTAATTTTGTGTTTAAAACGCCCCACGCAAGCCCCACGCAAGCCCCACGCAAGCCCCACGCAAGCCCCACGCAAGCCCCACGCAAGTTAACTCAGTGATTAGTTAATCATCCGACAAACTACGTTTTGTGCGACGCAATTAAGTCGTGTAGTTAACTAATCATAGTTGAGGATTTAACCACAGTGATTAACGCTAATCATAGTTAAAGTTAACGACGTTTTTATACAACCGGCCCCAGCATGAAACTATTCTTATGTTCATTATTTGAATGTTCATTGAAATTAACAGCTTTTTGTCGATAAAGTCAAAATAAATTTTAATTATACAGGGTGCTAATGAAAATAATTTGCCCTCCTTTTTGTTATGAGTTTCTGCAAAAATTAAAATGTGGAGTGGGGGTATTCCAAGTATAAATCTACAAGTTCAATGTAAATATTACATAAAAAAGCTTTTTATACTTTATTTGCCTTTATTTGATAAATTATCGTGTTCTATATTATTGCAATTTGTATTGGAATAGGATAAATATACACAAAGATTTAAATTTGTAAATTATCCCCAATTTGGGGATGCGGGTGCACAGCCTCAGTGTCTCTGAATTTGAGATACAATGAACATGCCAAATATACGAGGCAACAGATAGTTTAATTTTATACCAGAGATTCAGCGTAACTAATTTAGTAATTACTGCAGCTGCAAATGTACAAACATTGTCTATTTAACAATTAGTCACAGAAGGCGAGGTGATTACAAGCCTATATTCACTAAGCTGCGAAGTAAATATATATAGTCTTCGGTGATCACCAAGACGGAGGTAACTATTTGGTGTTTTAGTATATAAATGAATTTATACTAAAAAATAATTGAATGGAAAAATAAAAATATATACACACGTTGTAGGGAAATATAATTTATTTCACTCTAATTTTACTTTTGAGTCAAGCGAATCCAGATGTCAGAACCGTGCCACCCGATTATGTTATTTTCCGGTTTTAAATTGCAAATAATACCACATATATTGTTGCTTCTTTTGCTTTTAGAGGAATAGTATGTCCTTTAATTTCTTCAATTTTTTCTTCGATGAGTTGTTTGCAAGTAGATTTTCGGCGGCCATTTTGTTTTGAAAGCAATAGTTACTGCTCAGTGCAGTCTGAACAGACGAACAGTAACTTAATTATTACTTCAGAGTTACTGCTGAGGGAGCCAATAAAAACATTTGCATGAAAGCCATTTTTCAATTCTGAATTTACACTAAAATGTGTTATTTACAATAATCTGTTTGACTAGGTTTGATAAAACACATTTTATCATTCGCTTTGTAGTATTCTTAATTTTGATTGGTTAATTTACCTGCAAATAACTAAACTTTATCTGTAAATAATAGTCTAAGCATGCGTATTTGTTAAAATCTCCAAATAATACTTTGAGCATGAACATTGCCTTCAATTTTGCAAACAATGGCGGATATCTTTCTTGAACTTTCGGAAGATCAGTTGTCTTGCTTACTTGCGCATATTTTAAATTCTCTTACAAAAACAAAACTCATCTCTGTATTTTCAAAACACTGTTCTACAGTAAGTTGGAACTAAAATTTAATTACACTCGAAATTTCCATCAATAAAATGCTTCAACGTTAATTTAACGGTTTTGTTTTAGTGAATCGTCATTAAGTATACACTCAACCAGAGACCATTACAAATCCAGCATTCTGATTGGCTACTCGACCGCATGGGGCATTACGTAAGAGTCCATGGTGGAGAGAAAAGATGGCGGAAAAATTTTGTTTTCAAGGTTTTAAGAGAATTTTGTCAAAAACCCTTTCCCCGAATAACAATAAAAACTACAAAATATGATCCTATGATCCGAAGACATTCAAAAGTATAGGGAGCAAAATTTAAACCGTATTTTAACAGTAAATCTGCTGTTACTTGCCCAAATATGCGACACGAAGGACGGCGGAACCGCTGAGCACATCGTTTATGCATATTAGGGACTGGTCATTATTTATGGCTGCAGGGGGTGTAAAATGTTTGCTGATCCAACCATTAGGAAGTCCAAAATATCTTTGCCCAATCTCAAATATCAATTAAAATACTAGATAATACATGCATGCAGAAACCCTCGCCTTGCTCTATATATATATATATATATATATGTATGTTGGGAAATTGAGAATTTCGTAATTAAAAATGATATTTTTAGGCGATTTATCATTTGTAAGAATATTCTTAAAAAATTATCGTGTCACCATAACAATGCTTAGGTGAAACAATGCATGCTTGGGTCATTAGGTTTTGTTAACGACAGTAGATAACCCCCCCCCCCCATATAGGGGCCAAAGGGTGCCGACAGTGACGTAACAATAGGAAGGATTATGTAACAATGGAAAAGTAATTAACATCAATTAACATCAATTAGCGATCACGCTACCTTGAATCTTAGTTAGTGATATCGATTGTTTATTAGAATAACAATATGATACCGTTATCGTTTAAATAATGACATGCTGGTATCGGTATCATTAAACCGAATTCAATGAAGCATCAATTAGCGTCTCGTGGTCATTGTTATCAAAGAAACAGAATACCGTTATCATTGAAATAATAACACGGTGATTTTATTAAAATAACAATACGATGATACTGTTATCATTTAAATAACGACATGATGATGTCGATAGCAGTATTATTATAAATAGGCAATAGCAATTTCGTTTTTTTTCTGTCAGCAATCTTGTATACTGTAGTAATCTCACAATTTTGTGAACAGGAAAAAATGAGTTTTAAACGCAACGTAGCAGCACAAACCGCTAACGGTTGGGGAAATAATGCACATGTTGATGAAGTTTCAAAGACGGAATATCAAAAGCAATTCAGTTTACTCGAAGCTATATTTGCTGATGCCGTGGCAAGTGAAATCAAGCAACTCTGTGAGGAGTATTGTTGTGGTTGTAAAATAGATCATCCCAGCCAACGACAGCATGATTGCCTCATGATGGATGAAGATGAAAGATGGGAACTGTATGGTTTTGATGCCATTGAACGTGTGAATAATAAACGTATGATCTGGGATGAATTTGTTGAAGCAGCAAGAGTGCTGAAACTCAGATGTCACAAAGATGTCCTTGATCATTTGCGGCAACTGGAAAAAACGCCAGATTCTATGTTTGTTCAATCATTGAGGGATTTGCATTCGGGTACGGCAAATCGTGAACTAGAGTGTGTCTTGAACTATCTATCTTACTGGAGAAAAAAGTAATTGCGTGTATTGAATAACTTTGAACGAGTTTGGGCGGAAACATGTGACGTCACCGGAAGCTTAGACATTATGTACTTATAAAAGCCGTGTGCATGCAGAGATTTTTATTAGTAACTGTTCTTACGATGATGAAGTGTCTACACGGAAAATCAGCATCTACTTCAACTACCAGCAACGGATCTTTTTGGTTTTGTGGACAGAATCCTTCTTGTCATTTCTTTTGCTCAGAAGAAGACGGCTATCGTTTTGAAAAAGCAATAATAGCTTGGAAATCTGCTGGCGCCCATCAACCACAATGCCATGAACATCAGAAACTTGCAAGAATGCGAATAGTTAAAGATCCAATGAAAGAAGACTACGGAAGACCATTTTTCGTCTGTTCTCACCGTGAAAATCCTTGTTCTTTCTGGCAATGGGGCGATGTCGCCGAGACAGTTAGACCAAACTGCCGTCATGGTTTTCCGTGCTGTATACGGAAAGTGAAAAAAGAAGGACTTAATAAAGATCGTACGTTTTTCTGCTGTCCAAATGGAAAAGATAACTCATGCAGTTATTTTGAATGGACTCCCAGTGAAGAAGACATTCCAGTCTGTCCATGTTTCGAAGTGAACTTTAGCATGCCACCCTCGTATAATTATACCATTAAACGGACAGGAGAGAGATTTACGAGTCGTTGTGGGGACAGAATGAAAGCTTTTAAAGAACATTTGGAAAACAAATCCAAAGACAATTTAACAAACGCTTTTGAAAATATGAAGTTGTAATATTATTTAAGTATTTTACCCGAATTTTCTAACTTGCTTTTACATGTTTTTATGATGTAATGCTAATTTTTTCAATAAATATCATTGATAAATTCGATGTTATTCACTTTGTGTAGTCATTTGCTAGTACTTGCGGCGGTGTTCAGAATGGATATCATTTGCGACGAATTGAAGCAAAATAACGTAGATATTGACAAGGAGACTTTATCCTATCATATTAATGTTATCCTTAATAAGAATCATGAACTATACGAAGCAGCAAGAGTCCAGTCTTTAACAGTAAACTTTGGTCGGTTTTATAAAGAAATAAACGTAACAAATTTTGGACGATTTATTGCTTATTCAGCACTAGTATACAGAGCTAGTGATTCCCTGAATGAGGAAACTATTCGTCAGGCAGTAAGACTATCAGTTGAAGTTATCAAAACATTTAACTTGGAAAAATTTAAACGCAGTAAAAAATCTTTTCGAAGCGTTTTTGTAATGATGTCATTTACACTAGCGGTCCTTTATGTCATTTAAGTATCGTCCAAATTACCATGCGATGTTCATTTGATACTGACCGTTGAGGCGTAGGCATGACTTGCTGTTGTGAGGGTTTTCCACAAATAGCTCTCCGTAATATATTTCGGAGGATCCGCTGTATTTCCGCTTGTTGTGGAGAGAGTATTGTGATTCAAGCCTCTGACATTGATGGCAGAAAAATATCTAAGCCAACTGTACTACAATCCAGAACATCCTGCAAGTTTTGGAGGCGTAGATTCAATTTACCGTGTTGTAAAAGAGGAAGGAAAACATCAAATATCGCGGAATAGAATACGGTCATGGTTAAAAAAGCAAGACACATACACATTACACAGACCCGTACGGTTCCATTTTAAACGCAATAGGGTTCTAGTGGGTGGCTTTGATGAACAGTGGGAAGCTGATCTCGTTATTATGGACTCGCTAAGTAAACAAAATAATGGTTACAACTACCTTTTGACCGTTATCGATGTCCTAAGCAAGTACGCATGGGTTGAACCAATTAAGACGAAAACGGGCGAGAGCCTCGTTCAGGCGTTTGGAAAAATAATTAAGAAGGGGAGAAAACCTGAGAAACTACACACAGACAAAGGCACAGAGTTTACGAATAGAAAGTTCCAAAAGTTTTTAAAGGAAAATAATATTCGATTCTTCACGACCCATAACGAAACCAAGGCCTCAATTGTGGAAAGGTTTAATCGTACACTGAAAGGAAAGATGTGGAAATATTTTACGGCTAAAAACACAGTAAAGTACATTGACATAATTCAGAAGTTGGTCAAATCATACAACCATTCCAGACACCGTAGCATAGGAATGAAACCAGCTGACGTGAATAAAGATAACGAAGGTTTTGTGTGGCAGAAACTGTACGGGGAAGAACCTCACAAGTCCATCTACTATAAATTTAACATTGGCGATCAAGTTCGGATAAGTAAAGCACGGCGTACGTTCAAGAAAGGCTACCTACCCAATTGGACCGAAGAAGTGTTCACTATAACGAAGCGAGTACCACGACGTCCTCCCGTGTACAGAATTGTTGACCATGATTCGGATGAAGTGGAAGGAGTCTTTTATGAAGAGGAACTTCAGAAAGTGACTAAAACTCAAGATGACTTTTATCGAGTAGAAAAAGTAATTAGATCACGCATGCGTAATAAACGTAAAGAATATTTTGTAAAATGGCTTGGTTACCCTGAAAAATTTAATTCCTGGGTGCCGGCAGAGAATGTAAAAGACATTAATAAATAAATTGATTTGAATCCTATGACTTGTGTTCATTTATGTTCTGATCTTCAACATGGCAACACAGTTTTATTTGACGTTGCCGAGTAATAGTTCCATAAAATATTTCCCAAATAATACCGTGGCAAATTTCAGAGTGAAATTAGCCGAAGCAATCGTTTTGCCAGGACAGTGGGAAGTTGCATTGATCGGACTGCATTTTCCGTACACGTGGAGTACGATACGAAAAGGAGTACAACAAACGTTTCTATATAAAAATGGCAGTAGCCCTTATCAAACTGTCGTGCTTAAAGACACACATTATTCTTCTATTGACCAACTAACAAAAGCACTAAATGCCAGCATGTCAAAAGAAGAACAAACGAAAGTAAAGTTTAGTTATATTCGCAGTTCTTGCAAAGTTTTGGTTGATGTAAAACACGGCACAACTGTTTGGGTTACCGGTGACATAGCAACGATTTTGGGATTTGACCAGGACACTCTCATTGAAAAGAAAACCTTGAGTCCGTATGTTGCAGATATCAATGGTGGGTTTTCCTCCATGTATGTCTACAGCGATATCGTTGATGTTCAGTTTGTAGGCGATGTCAAAGTTCCGCTATTAAGGATCGTAAACATAGAAGGGGAATATGGTAAAAATATTCATGCGAGTTTTCGCAATTTGCAATACGTCCCAGTGAAAGTCAATTCCTTTGAAAGTATCGAAATCCATATAAAGAACGACAGAGACGAAAGTGTCTCATTTGCCTCTGGAAAGTCAATCGCAACACTTCACTTTAGACAGAAGAGATCTCAGTACTTTGTTTAATATGAAAGGCTTACTTATACCAGACGTAAAACTGCTTACAGAGCATTACACAAGAAATCAACGGGGCGGCAGCCTACCTGGATTTCACGGGGCAAGAGCGCAAAGAGGATATGGTATTGGAGGTATCTTTAGAAGCCTTGCAAGATTTGCTATACCTCTTTTCAAACAAGGCGCTAGAACAGTTGGTAAGAGAGCATTGCAAGCAGCAACGGAAGTGGGCCAGGACGTACTCGAAGGGAGAAATGTTTCAGAATCAGTGAAAGCTCGTGGAAATCAGGCATTCACGGATGTTGCTAATAAAGCAGTCAAAACGTTGACTGGTCGTGGGCGTAAGAGACCTATAAAAAGATCTGCACCAGCAAAACCAACCATTTCTTCTCAAGCTAAGAAGCGGAAAACATCTCACAAGATTGACAAATATAATCCTAAGTGGAATGGCTCAAGTCGTTGAAACTATGCATAAAGATTCTTGTATGTGTTCAAAGTCTGAACTTGACCTGTTTTTTGTCCCACCGACTCAAGTTGAAATGGAAAAAGGATTTTGGGAGGACCTTGACCCCATTACAAGCATTACTTCTTCAGATACTATTGATTTCTATGTGCCGCAAATTCTGGCGTTTACACTGACTTAGCAAGCAGTTTTCTACACGTTAAAGCAAAGATTACTACCGCAGCCGGAGGAAATGTGGGTGCGGACATTCAGGTAGCGCCTGTGAATCTTTGGATGCATGCATTATTTTCACAAGTAGAGGTGTTCCTGAACAACAAGCTGGTCACACCATCAAGCACAGCCTATCCTTACAGAGCCTATATCGAAACTGTTCTCAACTTTAGTAAAGATGCGAAGGATTCCCATTTGACATCAGCTCTATTCTATAAAGATAAAGCTGGAAAAATGGATGCAGTCAACCCTCTCGCACAGGACGCAGACGCCAACACGGGTTTGAAAAAACGCCATGCACATACACGGGCAAGCAGATCTGTGGTCGTGGAAGGAAGAATTCATTTTGATCTATTCGCTCAAGACCGTTATATCCTTGGTGTCGTGCCAATCAAAATAAAGCTTGTGAGATCAAGAAATCCTTTTTGCATCGTTTCATCTGCTGAAAACCCAACTTTCAAAGTGGTTATTGAAGAATGTATGTTTCGTGTACGGCGAGTGAACGTATCACCTAGTGTCATGATGAGTCATAGTCAGAGTCTACAACACATCACAGCTAAATATCCTATCAACCGTATCGACTGTAAAGTTGTTTCAGTGCCAAGAGGAAATATGTCTGGAAACCAACCTAATATATTTCAAGGTGCTTTACCAAATCGTATTGTGATTGGAATGGTCGACGCAGACGCCTTTAACGGTACCTATACGAAGAATCCATTCAATTTTAAAAATTACGATATTTCTATCATGGGTCTGACTGTCAACGGAGAGAACTTACCTGGAAAACCGCTCCAATTGAATTTTGGAGCAGAAAGTAACTACATTTCTGCTTTTCAAACCCTGTACGCGGGTACACATAAGATGTTTGAAAATCAGGGCAATGGTATAACTCGTGAAGAATATGCAAACGGTTATACGCTGTTTGTATTTGACCTCACGCCAGACCTATGTCTTGGTGATCATGTACAACCGATTAAAAATGGAAATGTGTCAATCGAATGTCAATTTGGAACACCGTTGGAGACGGCTATAAATATCGTTGTGCTTGGCGAATTTTAAAGTCTTATCGAAATTGATGCGAACCGGAACGTGCTGTGTGATTTCAACAACTGAATATGAACTCGCTGCAGATTATGAACATTCTCAAAAGTGATTCATTTACAAAGACGGTGTTTACGGATGTTTTACCGTCAGATCGTTTACCTCACGAAATACGAAAGATTCCTAGAGGGTATATACTCAACACAGATTCTTCCGATAAACCCGGATCACACTGGGTGGCTGTGTATCTTACAGAAGATGGGAAAGGGGAATTTTGGGATTCCTATGGTAAAGCGCTTGAATTTTACACCGAAAACTTTTCTAAGTTTCTCAACAAGAACTGTAGTACATTTGCGTGGAACAGAAGAATTTTGCAAGCCCCTTTATCGGACGTATGTGGGCAATATACATTGTTCTTTGCTTTACATCGGTGTAGACGTATTCCAATGGCAACCATTGCAAATATGTTTACGGATAGCAGAGAATGGAATGATGAACTTGTGCGTGACTTTATAGACAAGTGGTACAAATAGAAAACACTAGTTCTAGTTTAAAATACATTTTATTGTAAAATTCTCTCTTACAGGAAATAAATTATTTTAACCATTTATATGGGCTACTAATATTGTCTCTGCGTTTTTTCCTCTTTTCTTGCTGCACTCGAGGAGTGGTGGGTAGATTTTCCGGGATACGTTTTATATTCGCGAACAATTCCAAGACGGTTTTCGTTTCTCACGATTCCTTCGGGTACATTCAAATGACCAAGAACTTTTGAAAACAATTCCCAACCGTCGGGATTAAAATTCTTCCTTTGACGTAGAGAATCATTCACCAAATCAACTATATTTGTGCTAGGAACCGATCTTCCTTTGAACACCATCTGGCCTTGTTCATTCCAACCGATAAGATCCTTATTTGACTTGAGTTTTTTGATGAGTTGTCGAGCTCTTGACTTCATAGTGGATGGTACACTATCCATGATATCTGTTTCAATCTCGTCTGAGGGTTCCACCTCTTCACTGGGCTGTTCTCCTTGAGGTTCTTCAGCTTGATCGCTGTGCGTCACGTTTACTCGGAGAGGTTTATTCATTCGTTTATCATAAAAGGTTAAATAGCGTTGCAGATTCTGGTCGTATAACTTTGCCTATTCATCGATTGGTATATCTTGTCGTCGAATAATATCCTGCATGTCCGAGTCTATTTCGTTGACCTGTGTCGCCAAAGGTGCCGCGAGAGGTTTCTTTCGCTGTTCAACCATATGTTCAGGCACAAGTACTAATCGCTTGACGTGTTCCATTATAAAAAGTTTGCCAATTTCTCCAATACTGAAGTCAGTAGGAACGGCAGAAAACCTTCCCCCTTTTGGACAAGACATCTGCGTCTGTGCTCGATAGAATTCCGTGGGTCAGCTGCAAACTTTATATGTTTGGAATGTGGAGCAAGTTTTTTAGCTGTTTTTGGCTTGAGTTTAATTGTGTCAAACCAAACGTTTAATAGACACTGTCTTATCGCTTCGTATAAATCGTCCTCAGCCGCTTTTAAGATCGCTTTTCTCAGCTCAGGCTTACACTTGGCTAATACTTTGAGAAGTTCAGAGTTCCTCTTCATGCAAGCAGACATTGTCAAATGAATAATTTGTACGAGTAACGAGTTTCTTATACTCTTGGCTGATAAACGTAATGCGTATCTGATGGAAAGATCCCGGATCGAACTCTTATCTCGTCAGGACATGTTGGTGTCAGGTCGACAAATAAATACGAATACGGTTCTTTAGTTGCCATTTGGTAAGCTTGTTGAAAGAATTTTGTGTTGTTAGGATATAACTGTTTGCCAAGATGAACAATTTGACTCGCGTCGCGGACATTTTTTGTTAGGCATAAGTAACTTGCATTTAAGGAAATTGTACGATGCTCTTTGCTTTGATGAAACAAATTTTGTACAATGTACACTACACTGAGATTGCCATGATGTGATTTTTTCGTAAATAACTTTGAAATAACTCCGTCCTTTTCACCCATCATATCGTCAATGATAAACAAATTGTATGTTTCTGGATTTATAATGTCCACTATATCATCAGGCAAGCCTTGTATGATTTTTATACCAGGCACTAAATTTTGTATTTCTCCAAACGTCTCTTGATATTCGGAATAGAAGTAAACAATGTTTTCTGGAGGCTTATCAATCATAACATTAGCATAACTTAAAAATTTTTTGACAAACGTAGTTTGCCTGATTTTGTACCGCCAGAAACGATCAGCCCAAACGGGTGTGTTAATTGTATAGAATACATGTTGGAAATGAAAACAAAAATAATTTTCTGAGCTATTTATACCAAATTGTCGGCTTTTTTAGTGCTGGCAATCAATTTATGCAAATTGTTCAGAACTGTCCCTAAATCCATTGGCGTAGCTCTAGCACGAATGAGGTATGGTTGTCTTTGTTCGGGGGAGAGTTCATGCACGTCTGCCAAATGATTCGCTAATCTTTGTAAAGCCTGTTTACCGCAAAGCGGACAGTCCTTTCGCTTTCGAGGCATACTAGCAAATGATTATATTCCTTTTTGGCCTTGTTTCATATTTGTTTCGGTGCGCAAAAACGGCCCGCAGGGCCTTTTTTGTGGCCTTGTGGCCCGAAAACTCTGATGTCTAACCCCATCCCCTCAAGCAAATTATTTCAGACTAGGCTATATTTTGATACAGCTCATGTACGCCGAGTGAATTTATTAATTACATGTTTTGTTGATCAATAGTACCCACCAAATTAGCAGGTAAGCCAATCATTTATAATCTTAATGTTTGGTACATAGATTCATCAAAATATAAACACATGCCATATCAACTGAATACACACTTTTATTTATATCATTTTCAGGGCCGTCGCGAAGGGATATGGATTGGGGGGGTGTCGAAGGTCAAATTGCCGACTGACGCTAGTTGAATTTGCCGAGTTTTTCAAAAATGTTGTTAACTTTATGCCACATTGTGTGCATGTCGCGACCATTGATGAGTCATTATTTAATGTACAAATATATACTATCCGTATTGTACAAACCAGGAATTATTTATTAATATACTGTCCCTCAAAAATAAAGATGTGGATATATAAATGAAACTAAATCACATATACTGATATAGCTAGAACAGTCTTCCGTCTGTTCGTACTTTCCTTGTGAATTACTGTTTAGCTGAAGGTATAATAGTCCGCTCTTAATTGTTAAGCCTGGTTCACATTGATCATAAACATCGGCGATGCCCATTGTCGGTGGTCATTGACTCATTGATGCATAAAATGTTTTGTGCATTTTCTTCTTCGTTGCTCACAGACAATGGATCGTAGAATATCGCCGATCAATGTGAACCAGGCTTTAGAGTATTTGATCTCTACATTTAGAGTATATTACAAACGTATTAGTATATTTATCGATACTCGATCGAGAAACGTTCGCCTTTTGCAAGTTTTAGTGTATACGAACTCGTCTCTTCTTCAACAGGCTCCACTCTTTTGCAACTTTTTCCAAGTCAAGAGTTTTTCCAAGTAAGGTCTTTCTCGCAGGTTAAAAGCATAAGACCAGTCAGCCTTGAGTCGTTCATTGACTCGTACGTAGTTTGTTCTTCACAAACTTCAATTGACTAAACGAACGTTCGTTTGAAGCCACAGTCACAGGAGCCGTTAGCATCAATCTGACTGTCCAATTTGCCAATGGAAGGGACATTTTGTTGGCTTCGCTGACTTCAACCACCTTGTTATAGTCTTTGCCAACGTCGGAAGGTAATAACTCTGCCAATACTTGTAATTCGGCTTCTACAGCTAATGGGTCAGGTGATTGTGCAGGTGGAAATAATGAGACAGCGGAATGAATGCACGATATATCAATTGGTGGCTTCCAACACTTTAACAAAGGCAAAATGCTCTTCTTACACTACACCAAGTGTTCTCTCATTCGGGATGTTAGAACATCAAGGACTTCGCGAAATTGATTTCTGTAGTAGGCTCGAAATGAAAACTTGGTGGCTGTTCCGGCTTGCTCATCCACGCGTCCAGGTGCTCTCCTAGGGTGATGATGACGGTTGAAATCAGCTTCCGCGTCAATGTCGATGTTTTTGGCGCCGATTACGGATGCTTCAATTTGATCGTCCATCATTTTGTCGTCATCTCGTAACTTCTGCATGATGCTTAGCGTTCCATCAACAAGGTCTGTTGCATCCAAAATATTGAGAGAAACTGATTGCAGCTCCACCACCAGACTTTTTGTTTTATACGCAATGTTTTTCATGAACATCAGTGCAACAACAAAGTCAAGCGAAAGCATTTTTTTCTTAAACCAAGTGCTTGTGTTTTGAAACGTTTCCACTATTTGAAACGTTTTTGCTTCCTGCATGGCGTCGTTTTCATACGTTTTCGTGTAAACAGAACGTGAAAACGGTACTTTCAGAAACGCATTACAACCAAAATCGCTCGGAAACGTTACCGTGTGCACATAGTCTGAGTAACGAGTGTCTTAGCCTGTGGTGCAGACGCGCAAAGTCAGCAAAGTTATCCTAATATCTGTGATTCCACTGATATTTTATTTCAATCTTTTCATAGCAATTTCATGAATTTGACCTTTTTTATTAACCCCAGGCGCCGAATAGACAATTTATATATATTTTTTGTATTTTGAGCAGTCTTAAAACACTCTTACTTAGTGGTGGCTAGTGCTAACTGGGCTTTTGTACGACCCGATTTTCCAAGCGTTTAAATTTTATGCGTCAGAGTAAAACGGATATGCAACCGATGATACCGATCGCTGTATGCGGTATGTCTTTCAAAACTGTAGGTTGATCAGAGTTAACAGTAATTTCGCTAAAGAACTAAAAGAAAACAAGTCCCTTCTTACCGCATGGTTCGTCTTTCTCTTGGTCTTTTATTCTTGTGCCTGTGTAGTCTTCTTGAGGATCCTGCGCCTCTGACGAGTCAAAATACTCTCTTTGGCTTTGACCGCGCTTTGCAGCCAAAAACGGATTAGCCGGTGCATCTTTGTGTGCTACTCGCACTCGCTTTCCCTGATGGCAAGTTTGCTCGTGCCTCTTACGGTAATCGTCGTCAAAAATCGAATTACATTCAAGACACTGAAGTTTTATGCTTTTTCTTTTGGGTTTTGAACCGCGCATAATTGATAAAAAGCAATCTAGTGAAGAACATGCCTGAGGATTAGGAACTGTTGATTTTTTAGTCGGAAAACATGGGTTTCACATTTCAGCCTCCCGTCGATTTTCGACAAATAAAGACAAATACCGATTACAAGTAATACATTTAGACAGACCATGGTGATTTTGGCATAAGGCCACATTTTGGCATTATAAATCCACAATTTATCGCTTTATCTCTTGCCTTCGTTCTTCCCTTTTACAATTTGCTAAATGCCGATTTCGCGATTTGCCGAACAGTGACGAAGCAATTTGCCGACTGAGCCGATTTGCGAAAATTATTGGGGGGGTGAAGCACCCCCCCCACACCCCCCCGCTCGCGACGGCCCTGTTGCTTGTGCTCAATTCTTCAGTATTTCAAACCTGTACCTATGTTCAAGCAGGCTATCGCTGTTTTGCGCATATTCACTTCATTGTTTTAAGACAAAACTGCTAAATATTGAAAGTTGAGGTATTTCCTCGAGAACTTGAGGCATACAAAGTTTCCTCAACATCTCGTTCTCTTCTGTCATGTTAGATAAAATGCTTGCAGCCCAAACAATTGTGCTTAATTCTTCAGTTCTTTATTCAAATCCAGTACTTTCGTTCGTTCAAAAACTAAATTATTTCAAGTTATGTTAATTTAACAAGAACAAAGAGTGAACAAATTATCCGGTCTTCTAAACCAAGAAGGAAAAAAACTTAAAACTTGAGTCATTTTGAGTTTTGTTGCCTCGACATCTCATCTCTTCTGTTACGTTAGATGAACTGATGCTTGCAGCCAAATCAGTCAATAAATGATTCCTATTTTCCCTGTTTCCAAGTTAACCATATAACAAGCTAAGTAACAAACACTGTATGTCACAGAGCCATTATCATTCTTATTAGAATGCATTTAACACATAATATTACCTAACTAAATATTCAGTTATTATAAAAATTACAATCGAAACTAATAATCATTCATAGATCTTTGCTGAAATGGCAACGTTCAGTACCCTACATGTAAGACAGAATAAGACATTTGTGGGAAAACATAAATATTGATGACTGCATTTAATGTTGTAATCTGTTTTATAGTGTTATTTTCTTCAGTATATTTAACCAACAGGTTGAGTCATTCGGCCAATTCGCTATTTCAAAATTTCCACACAGTTTTTCGAGAAGAAACTGTTAATTGCATCTATTTCCACTAAGAAATTCATTCATTTTGAGTTTTGTTGCCTCAAAATCTCAATTTCTTCTGTCACGTTGGATGAAATGCTTGGAGCGCAAAAGTTTGATTGTGCTAAATTCTTCAGCGCTTATTTCAAACCTAAACCTACTGTATATTTAAGCAGACTGTCGCAGTGCTTAATTGTTCAGTTCCTTATTCAAACCCAGTACTTTCGCTGAGTCGAAGAACTAAATTATTCCTAGTTTAACAACAAAAAAGTGAACAAATTATCCGCTCTTCTAAACAAACTTTAAGGTGCTCTCATTAACACTTGAGTCATTTTGACTTTTGTTCCCTCAACATCCCATCTCTTCTGTTACGTTAGATGAAATACTATATTGCAGCCCAATCAGTCAATAAATGAATCCTATTTTCTCTATCTCCAAGTTTAGCATATAAATGAGTGTGCACAATATGTTTACAATTGCTCTTCTGATCGCCAATAAGTTGACCTAGTTTGTCCCTAGCTTTTATAATCTCATTATATTTTGCTGATCACCATTTCATATTGTTGCTGCTTTTCACGGCGTTACACACCTTCACTTCTTTTTTCGAGACAAAACCGTTAAATCTTGAAAGCTGGTCTCATTGAAACCTCAGACACATATAGAGTTTTGTTGTCTTAACATCTCGTTCTCTTCCGTCATGTTAGATGAGAAGGTCACAGCCCAGCCAGTCATTAAAATTAATCCCATTTTCTCTGACTTTAAGCTTGGCATGTAGATCATCAATTTCACGTCGTAACAAATTTATTTCGTATTCAGATTCTTGTTTTTGAAGTTTAGTCCATGCAGTGTGTCAATATCACGAACATTTTGGAGGCGATGGTTTTTTGCTGTTCGAGACATTCAACATAATCTTCCCACAGTTTAATCGATCCTGTGGGAACTCGTACGATCATTTCTTGTTGTTTGAGCGATGAACCATGTTGAGTGTTTATATTGTTTATATTGTTTTTTACAGTTTGCACATGTGCAACTTCCAATTGTTCTGGGCAACTTGTTGGAGGCTGGCTGTATTCTTTATTGCAGATAACGAATTACTGCTTCTCCCTCGTGCTTTTCACAGCTTTACACAGACTGAAATTGGAATATTGAAAGGCATTCTCATTAAAATTTGAGTCATGTGAAGAGTTTTGTTGCCTGAACATCTCGATCTCTTCCGTCATCAAATGAATCCTATTTTCTCTGAATTTAAGCTTTAGCCACCTTCCAACAGCGCCTTGGATTTTGAATTTCATGAAATTTGGAAGCCTCCTCGAGCAATTGGACAATACCAGCTGATGATACGAAGCAGGTATCGCATTAGTTCGTGGAATATACATTCGTTGCTGAAAGGCTTCAGGGGCGCCTTAGTCAGTTAACTGAATGCCTTTGCAGATTCACATCCGTACTGGGACCCTTCCCAGAGAAAGGGATCCCTAAATAACGATACACCACCGTAATAGATTTGGCAAGTATACCCCCTGCAGTGGCATGAAAATACCCTTAAGGGTTGATTGGAAATACCCGTAAGGGTTGATTGGCAGCTATCTATTTTTTCCATCAACATCGATTCTTAACCACACAGACATGCCAGTACTTCCGGCACTAATTGACAAACCACATTTGTTCAAATCACATTTGTTCGTTTAATCCATCGATTTGGCTGTGCGTTCCCACAGACGTTCGGGCGATGACATAAATACAGCAGTATTTATGTCATCCGCCAAAGCCAGGTGAATCCGATGCACACCCCGTATCTCAATCGCATTATTGGGTTCTACTGTACGCTAGATAATGCCCAGTCAAGCACTGCATTTGAATAGATGAACAGACATAGGATTGCCCGGAACGGCACATAACACCTTTGGAACAAAACATAACAACTTTAGTTACTCAGGGTAAAACACATAACAGTAAAAACTGATAAACTTGTGGCTCTCTTAACATAGACACAATATGATATATTATATTGGTCCTCAAATATTTGGTCATATCAAATTATTACCTGACTTGTCTTCGTGCTATAATCTTCCCACAGAATGAGTTTAATTGATCCTATGGGATCTCGTACGATCACTTCTTGTTTTTTGAGCGAAGGACCATGTTGAGTGTTTCGTGTTTTTTACAGATTGCACATGTGCAACTTTAAACTTTATGCAAACCAATTGTTCTGGGCAACTTCACGGATGCTGACTATATCGTTTATTGCACATAACGAGTCACTGCTTCTCTATCGTTCTTTTACACAGCTTTGTACACACTGAAACTTGAATATTGAAAGGCATTCTCATTAGAACTTGAGTTGTTTGAAGAGTTTTGTTGCCTGAGCATCTCGATCTCTTCCGTCATCAAGATTATTAGATAATCTTATTCAGATTATCCAATGCCTTTGCTGTTCACGTCGGAGCTGGAACCCTTCCCAGAGAATGGGATCCTTAAATAACGATATACCGCGTAATAGATTTGGCAGGTGCACGAGGTATACACCCTGCACCTACATGCAAATGCCCGTAAGGGTTGATTGGCTCTTTTCTTTTTGCCATTAATATCGATTCTTAACGACGCTGACTTGCCAGTGCTGCCTCAGGCCACATTTGTTCAAATGTTCGTTTAATCAATCGATTTGGCTGTTCGTTCACACATGTTAGGGCGAGCAGGACTATCTATGTCATCCGCAAAAGCCAGATGATTCAGATCCACATCCCCTATCTCAATCGCATTATAGATGAACGGCACATAACAAATTTGGAACACGGAATGACAACTTTATTCACTGAGGGTAAAACACATAACAGTAAAAACTTGTGACTCTTCTAATATATTATATATTATATTGCATGGTTATCGAATTATATTGGTCATCAAATATTTGGTCATCAAAATATTACCTGACGTATATTCGTACTATTCAATAAACTCGATATTTTAATTTATAACATTGGCCATCCAAGAAACACAATCTATGGCTTGGTCATACATCCACCTGTTGTCGGTGCCAGGTATTGGTTACGGAAGGGGGAAACGTGAATTCTCCTGAAGACGTTTTCTTCACCAAAGTCAGACAGGTGATTGGTAGATAGATAGAAAAAACTTTATTTAGGCACGTTAACCACGTCGACAAGTGCTGATTTCCACATGAGGATTGTGTAAAATATCATAGTACAAACTTTAAGAGATTTAGGACCTATCTCATTTTAGTAAGTTGAACATTAATATTGCTTTGACCTTCTTTCTGCTTTAAGTGGTTCCCATCCTAATGCACTAAGTTCAACTGTTGAATCCACGTCATTGCTCGTCGCTCGTGACAGAAACGATCTTATCGGCCAGCATGATAATATTGGAAGATGGCAGCCCAAGAAGTCTTGCCAGAGTCTTTAGGCCCAACGAATTCTAGCTTTCGTATTTTTTTAGCATTCGGCATGCCACCAGGCACTGATAGAACTTGTTGAGGAGCTTCACTCTTCCCTGCAGATCAGGGAATGAATTGTTGATCCCATCTGTAAAACGCCCAGGATCGGAGGTGAATGTCAATCATACCGCACAAATGCTCGTGCAGATTACCCACGGAAATCCTCCTTTTAATATTGGAAAAGTTTTTCCCAGATATTCGGAGAGAGTATCTATCTGACACTTCGATGATATCCAAGTCGAACTCAATCTGAACTCAGTCGGTAGTAGTAAAACTTTATTTCACCAGGAAAACGTATTAATCATAATAGCCATCTAACTTATTAATTAACAGCCCTCACATGCAATATTACAATATTTACAAAAATAATAGAGTACGTCACTGTTATTTACATATGAGACAAAGTTTCATTTTTCAAAACAGGTCTTCAAGATGGGTAGTAAAGTTGAGCTTGTAAAGAAATATCATACGACGTGTGTGTTTCGCACAAGTTATTTTTTAAGCCTGGTTCACACTAGCAATTTTGTCGGCGATTTTGTGTTTCAGATGGATGCAAATCTGTGAGATCCCACACAAACGTGTAGAGTCGCTTTTCAGAAGTAAACAATTAATAACAATAATAATAATAATAATAATAAACTTTATTTAAAGAAGGTGCAATTATACAAAAAACAGTTTAGCAACGCTAATCTTACACTGGGCCTTCTGTTCAACCGTTATCGTCTACTTATTACAAATTTACTATTAAAACTACACATTAAATTGGACATCAGTACAACAAGCACATATAAAAGTCGTACAAACAAATAACTTATATATAAGTATCTAAAAAGTATTGATAGGCTCTTAAATTAAGGAGCTTAATGACGTTGATTGTCTGGTCGCACGTGGTAAACTGTTATATTATGTTGCACCACCGAATTTCAACGTTTTCTGCCTAATTGTTAGTTTCGTTCGCGGTATCCACAGTTCGTTGTTCTCTGAGCTTCTTTAGTTCGTTTTGTCACTGATGACTTTAAGACAAACAAGTCACTTATGTACTTGGGTATACCCAGTTGTTTAATGATTTATATACCATTATTGCTGTTCGTAGCATTACTCTTTGCTGTATAGGCAGGACTCCAGCAGCTTTAAATAGTGGCCCAGAAGAGGTTAGCTTCGGTTTGTCGTATATAATTCTCAGAGCTAACATTTGGAGTTTATGTATGCGAATAATATGACATGATTGTCCTCAAACTGTACAGCAATAATCTATGTGAGATTGTAAGAAACACTTGTAGTAAATTACTCGGTGACCAATAGGCAAATACTCTTTGATCTGTCTCAGAAGATGAATTCCTTTAATTAGAGATTTTGCTACTTTGTCAATCTGCTGTTTCCAGGAAAGATGTTCATTCATAACAACCCCAACTATTTTCTCATTGTTGGTATTCTTTAACTGGACACCGTTACCGTTAAATTCTACTCGTAGATTTGAATTTAATGTGGCTGCGCGCTGAGATATTGTTATCATTATTGCCTTCGTTTTACCGTCATTTATTACCATTTTGTTGTTAGTACACCAAGCTTGAACGTTTGTCATATCCTCAGTTAATTTATTATTGAGTTCCTCAACTGTCGAATCATCAGCATACATGTCTGTGTAAGACTGTGTTGGAATTGACATATAGTGGAAGATCGTTGATAAACATTATAAACAATAAAGGTCCTAGAATACTTCCTTGGGGGACACCATACAGAGAAGATTTTTTAGATGACAAAGTTCCTTTAAAGTGCACACATTGGTCTCTTTCTTGCAGGTATGACTTAAACCAGGTTAATGTCAAATCATCACATTTGTAAACTGCAAGTTTTCGTAATAACAAATCGGTATCTACCATGTCGAAAGCTTTGCGTAGATCAATCAATACTGCCCCATTTATGAGACCGCTCTCCATGTTGGATGTCCACATATCCACAAGTTTGCATAGCCCTGTTTCACACGAGTGATTTCTTCGAAAACCACATTGGGCATGATGTAATAAGTTATGACTCACGAGGAACTGGTAAAGATGATTGTGAACATGACGCTCGAGAACTTTACTGACAGCGCACAGTATGGCTATGGGCCTGTAGTTGTTGACATCACATTTGGAACCAGATTTGTAGATTGGGATAATTTTTGATGTTTTCCATTTTGTCGGAAACATTCTGGATGATAAACTTTTATTGAAAATCTTAGTCAGAGATGGAGCTATTAAATAGGTTGACATCTTCAAAATCTTGTGACTTAAGCCATCAAGTCCGGTTGCTTTGTGAGTGTCTAAGTTACGTAGATAACTACAAACCTCTTCTTCAGTTAGTTGTGGAATACTAAAGGCATCATCACTATTAATTCTTGAGTTGAGCATTTCAGATAGTTTATCAAAGTTACTAGAAAATTGTTGAACCGCAACATACTGGTTAACAAAGGTGGAGAAAAAGTTGTTGAAATGTTCACACATATCTTCAGGGTCCGATATGCTGGAGTTGTCTGAGTTATTTCGTAAAAATATCTATCTGATGATAATTATAATATTATAATTCTAAGTCTTTCGCATGTCATTCATTCGATCACATTTGCCAGGAGGAAAAAAATCCCCGATAGAATTGGTAGTGTGAACCGGGCTTTAAGATCAATGATTCACTTATGTTGCTTACATTCAAGATCAATTAAGGTCAATTTTTTGTTATTGTTGATTCGGGTAGTAGTAGTGCTCCGCTTACAACTTTCGTTAATTAATATACTCGAAAGTGTCCTTCCTTCTTGGAGAAAATGGCATTTGAACATAACGGATCCGCACTCCAGTCCGGAGCCCAGACTTTAGAGTATGTATCTTGCCCGGTTGAGGACAAAAAAACGGATGAAACTGGACTCATATTTTTTGGAATGGATACTTTAATATGGATCTGTAAAGTGTTGCTGCATTATTTGATTAGCCCGCGTGCAGGCACACCAAGGGAAGAATAGTGGGCCTGCAAGGAAGACCGGGTGTTTTGTAAAACGCCCCTTTTCATAACACACCCCATTCACACGTCAATCGTCAAAAAAAATTAGTTACCAATGACAGCAATCCAAATAGTAAACAAACTCGCATTAAAATATTGTGGGTTTTTCTCGGTGTATTCAGAATAGAAACAATGTGTAAATGGTTGCATTTAACTCAGAAAAAGAAAGCAAACCAGTCAGCTTCAAATAATTGCCAAATTTGGAAGTGCCCATTTTCATCTAAAATCGGAATAGGCAAATTAGGACGAATTTCAACAGAAAATCTAAGCATCATGGGAGCTAAAGTGTATAATGAGCTCGTTTTAGAAATTAGACAGACTTGAAATTAAACAGATTTTGTAAATAATTATCGAGTTATTTTTTAGTTGTTCATACGGACAGGATTTTATTGACTCATGGACTTACTTATGAGTGATTGGACCTTTTTAGTCTATTAATTACTATAATTCTTAAGGCATAACAGATTCACATTGATAACAGCGCTCCTGTGCTGAAGTGTATATATCCTGACATGTAAATATTCGTTATAATAATAATAATAATAATAATTTTTTTAAACAACAGAAATCTTTATTAACAACATGATAATTTTTTACAAATATCACATAATTAGACTTTCAATTAAATCAGGAAAATAGAGAAACAGTTCACTATATTAGACAGATAGGTCCATTCTCTACACTTTATATCAATAGTAGCTAATAAAAATTCAGTAAGTCTGGGTTATTCCAGGGCTTGTTTCTTTTGCAGTAAATGTAGAATGTTGCTCTCATTTCAAGTGTTCGTAATAATCTACGAAATCTGTCAATATCTTTCGACACAAAACCTAGAGTGGTTACTTCAAGTGTAATAACTTCAAACGCATAACACGTTGTGATCAGCTCAGATCTTAGATGTCTGTATCTTTCTTTCTTGCGACGTTTAGCCTTCGTACAATTGGTTTCGTAGGGAACAGTTAATTTTAACCACATATACAGAACCCTTAAAATCCGCCAGTATATCAGGTCTTAGCGTTCGAAATAAAGTTGAAGTACAGGTCGTACCTGAATTAGGACAGTCCGCAAACAGTCGAAGATCTGCACCAACTGCGATTTTTAAGTGATGAATAATAGTCATCAGAATCGAGTCATGCCGCCAAGTATAGCGTTGTTGTTCTAGGGCTACCTTGCAGTTGGAAAAAAACGTGTAGCTGGGTTTGTAACTTGTTGCACAACTCACAGTTGGCGGAGTCACGAATGTTCCAGCGCTTTAGATTAGAATTATTTCCTAAACTTAAAATTAACGCTCTCCTAGCAAAGCATACTATATTGCTTGGCATTCGAGTGACAATTTCGTGCAATACTTTAATAATAATAATAATAATAACAATAATAATAATAATAACAAAAATAATAATAATAATAATAATAATATTAATAATGGAAACTTTATTTATTGATTATTAGGATATATACAACTACAATGATAAACCTCGCTTTACAATAATAATTATAATAATAATAATAATAATAATAATAATAATATTTGATCTTTTAAGTAGGTTAGTACTGTTTAATAAACTCGCAGGAGTGTTTTATTTAATTTTTAATTTTTTTAAATTTTTTTATTTTAATTTTTTTTTGAACGTCAAGATATAGTCAATTTTTTCTGAAGGTCAAGGTCACGAAAAAAAAGAGGTTGAAGGTTAATTGGAATTTAATAATATGAATTTTGAAATATTTACAAGTTTTTCGAGAAAGCTCTGGTTCCGCCTCTGAAGAGTGTGAACTCTGTTCTTCAGTTTTTCTTTTGTACTGTTCACGTCTGGGAACCTCCTTATAAAAGCACGGTGGACATGTATGGACAAGGGCGCAGTTGATTCTGCGTTGGCCTCCTGCTTTGCGGTTGCCGCGCGTGAGTAGAACCAAAGGTTGTCGCGCGATTATAAAAAAAGATAAAAAGAAACTAAATTGCAGGAAAGGGAACATGAAAATACGGTGATTTTTAATGTACGATCATACACAAGCAAGTTTCAACTCATTGTTTGCTTTAATATCGATTTGAAAGAGGTTAAGGATTCAGCAATTTTTGCCTCATGGGGAAGATTATTACAATGGAAGGCTCCGTTACAACTGAAAGCACTTCTTGCCGATTTCTTTTTTCCGTATAGGTGGTGCTAAATCAGTATTAGATTGAAATGCTTCTTTAAGATTGGGTGCGGTGTGGCCATTCAAAATGTTATGGATGAAAATAGATTTAAGGTAGTTTCGTCTTTTTTCGAAAAGTTTCCAATTTAGATTCTCGAGTAACTCAGATGACTGAATATATCGTAAGTTGCCCCAGTAATTAATCTTGCAGCAAGATATTGGTATTTTTTCAACCTATCTTTGAGGCCAATTCCGCAATTATCCCAGAAACGGGCTGCAATAATCGAAATAAGGCTGTATAATAGCGTTAATAGCATTTTGGTTGTCGACAGTGGTACAAAAGGTCTAACCCGTCTCATTGCACCAATACCGGCACCAACCTTAGAACAGATAGAATCAATGTTTGTCCCAAGACAACCTTTCGTCCATGTTCACGCCAAGGCATAAATATTCATCAGTCATGGATACTGGCGTAGTATTAATTAAAATAGGATTACTAGACACTTTATTCTTAAGGTTATAAGAAGATCCAATGATCATATGTTTCGATTTACTGCGGTGGATTTGAAGTTTGTTTTGTATCATCTATTTGTGTATATTTTCAAGATCAACATTTACCTTGTCGACAAGATCAGCGCAGTCATTAGAAGATGCATAAATTTCCGTGTCAACAGCATAGAGTGAAGGATTTGAGTGATTTAACGAATCAGGCATATCATTTATATATAAGAAGAATAGTAGTGGGCCAAGGATGGATCCCTGTGGAACTCCACATATTATCTATATATTATGGCATTAAAAAGAGTCAAAGCACTTTAAAGAAATGTTCCTGATAATCAATAATTATAAGGAATTGTTTTAGTGAGAAGGACAAATTACATGATATTGCAATGTGGCATTTGCATTGTTTTAAAATTGACTCAGTATAATGAGCGTTAAAAATTGACTTTTAAATATTCTTTCCCAGTCACATTTTCAAATAATTTTTGAGTCCTTACATAGGCACATAAGATACAATGTGAGACGCGAAAAGTTTTATTTAGATTCACTTATTTGAAGGAATTTGTTTTGGCCGTCCACTTCGTATATATATAGTACATTGTTTGCAACAGAACAGTACAGCCATATTAGCTAGCTCAACTGCTTTTGAACTGGAACCTAAAATAAATATACAGTAGGGTTTTCGCAATGACTGAATAATAAGTAACTCACATTATCATGAAATTATTAGACAGTTTGGCACTGCTCCGTGGTGGTTACTGATTGATATCTCCGTTTGGAACGTGACCCTCATCTTCAACACGTAATGCAATAATATCATGTGATCCACAACGTTGCTGATGAAATCGTAATCCATCAATGATCTGTCGAAGCTCGTCGTGTAAAACCTGATCATCTTTTTTTGCTCTTCAAAAACCAGTAGTCTCCAATGGACCTTTAACCTTAAAACTAAAATTTTGTCAAGACTTGCCTAGATCGAAATTTTAGTTATAAGGTTAAAGGTCCATTAACCAAGTCTTGAAACTCGTCATTGTAGATTCGTGGGTTTTCTCTTGAACGATTCAATAGCTAAAATAATCATGAAGATCTAGGTAGGCTAAAATTCAAATATATACTTGACTTCTTCCGGTGGTGTGTTGATGGTCTTGTAGAGTAATGATCAAGCAGGCATTGCTTGTCCAAATATGTCTTTGCTGGACCACATGCCAACATATCACCCTCCCTTCTTTTATTATTATTATTATTATTATTATTATTATTATTATTATTATTATTATTATTATTATTATTATTATTATTATTATTATTATTATTATTATCATCATCATTATATCTTTATTACTATTATTATTATTACAACATCTTTTTACACGGTTACTCAACCATGTAAATATTATTCATGTAAACATATTCAGAATTGATCTTGTGCATAGGATCTCGTACGATCACCTTATAACATGCATAACATAAATTATAATATAGCATTTGTAAATTCTGAACGCTGATTGGCTAAGAGCCGTGTTGATATAACTCCATGTGAACACGGGAAATTTTCCGCCGCTTGTTAACACGGAAATTTTTCTTATTCTTCGGGCTTTTGATATTGCTATATTATAAAACAAATATAAAACATTTTTTCCGTATTGATATATAGTTATATCAACACTCGTGGAAGTTGGGAAAACTCGAAATTGTGTGAAAATACACTCCGCCCTTCGGGCGTCGTGTTTCCACACAATTTCTCGTTTTCCCAATTTCCACTCGTGTTGATATAACTGTATATCAACACGGAAAATGTTTTATATTTGTTAATTATAATATATAACACAAAATATATAACATATAACATAACATAACATAACATAACATAACATAACATAACATAACATAACAAGTTTATTTACTGAGGGTAAAACACATAACAGTAAAAACTGATAAATTTGTGATTCTCCTAACACATGTTAGGTTTTTATGTCGGAAAAGTTTCTTCTTAATCTTTCCAGATATTCGGAAAGCGTTTCCATCTGACACTTCGATGACATCCAAGTCAAACTTAATCTGAACTCAATCTGTAGTTGTAAAACGTTCTTTCACCGGAGAAACGTGTTAAACATAACAGCTATTTAACATACAGCCCTCACATGCAATATTACAATATTTACAAAAATAGAGTACGTCACTATTATTTGCGTATCAGACAAAGTCTCATTTTTCAAAACAGGTCTTCAAGATGGGTAGTAAAGTTAAGCTTGTAAATATCTTACGACGTGTCTGTTTCGCATTAGATCTTTTTTCAGCTCGACGATTTGCTTAGGTTGCTCACATTCACTATCTACTGTATTGGAATTAAAAAGAGTCAATTACACACTATATGAAAATGTTTGACACACTATCCAGTATATAAAAGCATTAAAAGAGGATAATAAAAGTTGGTGTCAAATGTCTCTCAATTAAAGGCAGGGTAGCAAATTGTAAATTCGTCGATGTCTGGGCAAGGCACGATTTATTATTTAGCCCCAAAGATAAATCAGTGAAACGTAGTTGTCCATACGTCAGTGACAGTACGTATGATATACTTATAGAACACTCGGTCAGAGACCCTTCAGGGAGCCTCCACCCGTGCCGCGTTCAGTAGCCAGGCCCAACCAACGTAGGCATTTGCGCGCGCATGTTGACCTGAACAAAGTCACTGAAAGGAAGTAATTGTAATAGTAATTGGCTCAACTAAAATATTTGATTATAAAAATTACGTTTGAGTCATATAATGTTTTGTTTCCTCAACATCTTGTTCTCTTCTGTCATGTTAGATAAAATGCTTGCAACCCAAACGTTCAATGGTGCTATATTCTTCAGTTCATTATTCAAATCCTGTACTTTGCTCGTCCAAAAACTAAATTATTCCAAATTATGTTAACTTAACCAGAACAAAAAGTGAACAAATTATCCCATCTTCTAAACAAAGGTGTTGTGATTAAAACTTGAGTTATTTCGAGTTTTCTTGCGTCGACATCTCATCTCTTCTGTTACGTTAGATGAAATGCTTGCAGCCGATTTAGTCAATAAATGAATCCATGGGCGTACCGGGGGGGGGGGG